ATCTGAAGGTCCAGATGCAGATCAGGGAGGGGGGACAGCAGCGGGGGACCTGGGACAGAGTCCACACCGGACAAAGGAAAATGGCCAGAAACCCCGTCTCCAACAGCTGACTCTCCCAACCTGGACAAACCATCAGAGTAACTTGTAAAAAAAAAAAGTATATTTCTAAAGCAAAGGATAAGTGTGCCACACAAGAGCTGCACACAGCACATTCAAGCTAAAAACACAGTGTCTGAAGACAGCACACAGATGAAAGCTTTCCCTGGACTCCATAAACCTGAGGAGACAGTTTATATTTTGGTCAGAGACTTTTCAGCTATGGGTTGTTCATAGCACACAATAGTATATGACGTACTGTAAGCAAACAGGATAACTGTATGGCAGAAAATGGCTTATCAATTCAAACATGGTTACAGATGCTTACTCACTTGCTTATTTTAACCATAGTTACTTAGATATTTACTAGCTTAATGCTAATGTCAGTATAATAACATGCTTACAGTGTCAGTGCTATCATGCTGATTGTTTAGCAGGTATAATGTTTACCATATTCGTTATCTTAGTTTAGCATGTAAGCATGCTAGCATTTGCTAAAAGGAGTGAGATGGACAGAAGCTGCAGAAACCACGAATGTCTGTATAGTGTATAAACATCTTATAGATGTTGAGTCCTCTGGGGACCTTGAATGTCTGCTTAATATTTCGTGGCAATCCAATAGTTGTTCAATTATTTGAGTCTCTGTGTGGTGCTGATGAGGACCAGGTTATACGGTCAAAAGCTCCAGAATAAGAGATTATGGACTTTATGTAAATAATGATCCAAAGAGAATATGATTTATCAATAATAGATTTACCTTTATAAATGTAATTTTAGAGCAGTACATTTCAAAAAGCACTGCACAATGTCTGCCAGACGTGCTATTCCAGAGACTAATGCTCCTAACACCAACAACCCATGGCCTCTGGTCCGCAGTCTAGACAATCGGAGGAGCTTAGTCTGCAGGCTTAAAGCCGCATTGTCAGCTATAGGGTGATAGCGAGTCCAAAAGAAAATAGGGAGTGGGGATAGACAGTGAGAGTGAGAGAAAATTGTCTTTAGAAAAAAAAAGAGAGAAATGCAAGCCACAACTCCCAACCACAGACATTGGCCTGGCGTCTCTGACTACAAAGTGTCATTAACCAATCACAGAGCTGCCACTGACCTCGCCACTTATCTGGGCCGGAGCCCTACATGCAACCTCCTATTTATACTGTCTTATTTCTTTCCCCTCTCTCGTCCCTTTTTACTATTACCTTCATTACTGGCTTCACCAAGTAAGGAGGCAATGTACTGTACGTCAGTAAACCTCAACTCTGTCAGTGAGTGTGTTTTAACCCAATAACTGGCTGTAAACAATTTGGGAAACAATCATGAGAAAGCTGGTAGTGAGAAGGATATGCATTAAAGTTTTATGTGCAGTGATTGTACTGTATTATGGTTAGGATCCATGACTCTACAATGAGGATTTCTTCTAATTGAGATCAATACCCTATAGAATCATACTTGGATAGATATGTTTTTTGTTTGAGGGACTTAACCACGTTAGTTTGCCCATAAACAAACTAAAATAACATCCAAACCTGCGGTCTCACAAAAAAATGCTGTGGAGGAACAAAGGAAGCAGTCCTGGACTTTGTGTTAAGGCTGAAAACGGCGAGGCCCTTGGTGTTTGGTTCACTTACCGAAGGAATACCTGGAAAGAGAAAAAAATAAAAAGGGCACAGAGATATAAGAAATTGATGCATCTTTAATATTTAAACTAAGAGGTTGTAATGAAATAGCTTGAATTTCTGAGTTTATTTCTTTTTTACACTGGTATTTTATAACCTTTACAAAGTCGGTATGGTAAACCAGTCATCTAAAGAATATTTTCATTTATTTATGGCAATTAAAGATATTTATTTACTACTTTCTATGTAATGATGACATTTTCTAGCATGTTCAATGTGGACAGAAAACGAATGAACAATAATTATCAGGCCAATAAATTATCAGCTCATAATACTAATACTACTACTAATAATAAAAAATTATAATAATTTATTTTGAATTCATTATCCCTAGTCTATAATGGAATAACTAAGGGACTAGAATAAAATAGCTCAAATTAATTAAATTGGACGAAACTGGAGCTTATTTCCATAATTTAAAGCGATAATAGTTAAAATTTTCGCCCCGAAAATACCTGTTTACACATCCAGCAGACACAGAGACTGAATAAGAATTCATCTGGAGTCATGTTTCTGTTTCAGTCCATATCTACTCTCTTTTAGCTCTGTTTTTGGCCTCCACCAACTCCTGAGAGAAATACCTGGCTCTGGCCACGTTCGCCAGCTAGTTGCTGACTTTGCCTGCTGTTTGGTGCTGGACCACTAAACCAAAACAATGATCCAAAATAGACTTAAAGGCTCCAAAGAGCTGAGAAAGACTGCACATTTGGGTGATAATGCTCTGATCTGTTTGTAAGTGTGAGCAATCCCTTTCATGTTTGTTAATGTATAAAATACTGATTGTGCAGCTTAAAACAACTACTATGATATGAGGGAATAAAAGCACAAGGACAGTAGGATTTTAAAAACTGGACGTGAAACTAATTATTAGTATTTATACATGTGTATATCCCAGACTCACCACAGCTGCCCCACGTTGACCAGGGAGTGGTAAAGCACCCACAGCGTAACCATGATCACCATGTTGGCCAATCCCGTCACCAGGACAAACGCAGACAGCGCCATCCCCACCAGGGCAATGGCATCCAGGTTGGCGTCCATGTCGCTCCAGTCTAACAACCAGAGGATGGAGGGCGTGTACACGAAGGCGGCCGCGCCTATCTTTCCCCCGACATAGCGCTTAACGCTGTTGAGGAAGTTCTTGCAGGACATCAAGCCTCGCTCCCCTATCAGCTGCTTGTTCTGGTTGTAAGCGACACTGAACGCCACGACTACAAAAGAGAGGAGACCCAAAAAAAAGGGATAAAGGCACATTTTAAAATGAAAAGTTGCTGCTTTTTGTGGGTGATTGTGAACTATTTGCTGCTGAGTGAATGAGCCAGATGTGAAGCAGTAAAAAGATCAGCTACAGAAAGTCTGAGATTATGGTATGCCCCATACAAAACAGTAAAACTGTTCCATCCAGGTTATGGAAACAGGAAGGTGAGATAAGGTTCCTGACCGAGTGGGATAAAGTCATTGTAAGTAAAGTTCAAGTTCATTTGCATTGATAGTTCAGGTGGTTTTCCCACAAAGGTAAGACACCTCGTTCCATGCAGCCTATCTTTTCGGCCCCTCTGACATTACTCACTGGGATATTGTGGTCAGGGAGCTCAGGAATAGAGCAGGGATGACCTATTCTGTAAGCCAACCCGGAAGTTAACATCACCCTGGCTCCTTCATCCAAAAGCCAAAGGTATTTCACTTTGGGTTGTTTGTTATTGCAGAAAATATGCTCTGTGGTGAAGTTTTATGACACTTGTGTAGCAAGATAATCTTCACATATGAAGATGAAAAAATGACACAACTTATAATTAAATCATGTAACTAAAATCTACAAGTTGGAAAGTACAAACACAATGTGAATGTAAAGGTGGACTAGTGAGAGCATGAGTCTCTATGTCCGTCATGCTGACATTTAATGTCCCCGACAACTTGTGTAGTCTCATTTAACCACTCGTTAAGGACAAAATTCACAGGTTGGATATGATAATGAAATATGATGTGTCACCACAGACCTTATCATTGACTTTGACTTTGAGGAGAGGGAACCGGAAGTGTTTACTCCAGGTTTTAGGACGCATTCCTGCAGCACTCTATAGCCGAGGAGGAGGTGGAGGAACTCTAACATAAATCTGTAAAACTTCCCTCCACCTCCACTAGAGACTACATCAACATGATGATTGTGATTAGTAATCCAACACTATATTATAACCCTCTGAACTGATCTGGACCCTCTGCTGCCTAATGAGTACTTTTACTTTGAAACTCTTTATGTAGTTGTCCGCCAATAGTTGTGTACTGCTACTTCAGTTGAATTCAAAAGCAAAACTTTTACATTGAGGTATTACTACTTTCCCTCAATAAAAGACCTGTCACTAAAGGACACTAACCTTTAAATAAATAAAGCCAACTCTTCCTCCAGTAACAGCTACACCAACTTAAAGAACTTGCACATTAGCTCACTGAAAAGGTGTTTTATTTTGAAGTTTTTAAAGACAACAAGGCTAAAAACAAGTAGCCATATTTAAAAAAAAGAGAGAGAATATGACCAACAGGGCTATCATTTAAAACGTTGACACAGCTCTAACCCCAATAATGACCTCACATATGATGTGATCTCACTGACAGAGCCTGAACGGTGAACGTCAACATGCTTACGGTAAATAAAGGCGACGGAGCGCAGCAGCACGATACGAGTGAGCCAGTAAGTCCCGGTCTGTAACGACTGAGGGCTCTTCTCTTTCTCAGAGTCCTCGCCGGGCTCTGCTCCATGCTCCCCACTGCTGTCTGCGCACTTTGTCTCTGTCTTACTGCCGTCTCCTCGTCTTCTCCTCACAGCGCTGCCTGAGCTGTCACCGGCGGCCGCCATGTTCACGGGCTTCACGGTCACGTGAACACACAGACGCGGAAGTGCATTATTATTATTATTATTATTATTATTATTATTATTATTATTATTGTTGTTGTTGTCGTTGTTGTTGTTAGTTTAGAATTAAAATAATAACAGAATATAAATAAGAAAAAAAAACAGTAGAATCACTGTCTTATTTGGGACATATATGTATGTGGTAATACTACTACTATTATTATTATTATTATCATTATTATTATCATTATTATTATTATTATTATTATTATTATTATAGGACAGACTTGGACAGTAGTGGAACAAGTATTCAGGTTTTTATATCAAATCCAAACACCCATTAGAGAATGCTTTGGGAGAGAAATATTCTTTATATTATTGGATTATGATTTATTATGCATTCTTTTGTGCACACGGTGGAGCTAATTTGAAGTACCTATTTATACTGGCTTAGATAACAATGTGATACATTGTGAGCTCATCTTTTTATATCAAAAGTTGTCTCTGAAATGTAGTGAGGTAGAATTAGACTATATGTCCGGAAATAGTATGACATTGAAATACGTAAGTCTGACTCTGAACTGACAAATCATATCCAGCCGTTGGTAGACTCCAAAACATCTTTACATTTAAATTATAGATATTATATTATATTAATATTGACTATTAACAATTATTTGCCTCCTCCTGCTGCGTTAAGCCGAACTAGGAGGAACTCTGCTTGTAAAACTTTGCAAAGCCAATGGGACACGAGGGGTGGAGAGATGCAACTTCTGAGGGGACTTAAAGAACTAAAAAGAAAATAGTGGCTGCTCAAACTTTGCCTGGCTGTGGAGGAGCTTGTGTAAAGGAATGGAAAGTTCAGGACAAGAAATTTGGGATTTTACCTGATTTAGGGTTCGGTCAGTCTTCCTACGGAGGCGTGCGCATTTACGCTCTTCTAGCAACTTTTTATCAACCAAGAATGACAGAAGAGAACAAGTTGACAGACCATCCGCGCAGCCCCTCAGGCAGCGACAGCTCCATGTCCCATCATGGATCTGATTCAGAGTCCCCGACCTCTCCGGCAGGCTCCGACGCGCAGGAGGCAGCGCGCCAGCCCGGTTTTACGCACAAACCGGAGAGAAGCATGGAGAGCAGCATGGAGGATGAACGCTTCCCTGCCTGCATCCGCGACGCGGTGTCTCAGGTGCTGAAAGGTTACGACTGGTCGCTGCTACCCATGCCTTCCCACGGGGAGAGAGGGCTGAAGAGCAAACCGCATGTGAAACGGCCGATGAACGCGTTCATGGTTTGGGCGCAAGCTGCGCGGAAGAAACTGGCGGACCAGTATCCTCATCTGCACAACGCTGAGCTCAGCAAGACTCTGGGCAAACTGTGGCGGTGGGTAACAGAGCTCAATAGAGTCTCAAAATTAGTGAGCAGTTTGTCCAGACCACCACTGCTTGTGTTTCCAAGCCAAAATCTTGGTTTTCTCTGCTGGGAATTTCATTCCGAAATGAATCAACTATTCTGATTAAATCAGAAATCAGAACTGACATGCAATAAAACAGTATTACTTAAGTTATTAAATGAAGACCAATAAATGTTGCATAAATACAAAAAGATTGATGGCAAAATAATTGCAAAGGGTAAATAAGTTTGTACTGTTTAATAAAAGACCAAAGTAAAGAGATAGCCAAACTCTGATATTCTCTGTCAATCAGCTCAATTTCTACTGGAATGCAATCTAACTAAATTTAAAATGCAGCCAGTATTCACACCTTAAGTAAAAAATATAAAAAATCTCCATTACAAGTAAAGTTCTGCTGTTAAAATGTCACTTAAGTAAACGTATGTGAGCATTTTTAACAAAATGTACTTTAATTACAGTACTACATAGAATAACTCCTGTATGTTATACTATGTTATATTGTTGGACTACCGTGTAAGTAGCATCTTACTGTCGAGATTATTATGAGAAAGTGCCCTCTTGGTTCCAGTGTTGAAAATTTGATGCAGTGCCACACAGGCTGTCCTACTTGTTTGGGCTCTAAAGAGTTCAAAATGCATCAAAACTTTCTGCGTGCTGGCAGCCTGTCCTGCAATGCATGCAAATAGATTTCCTGGCCAAATTTCCAATTTGGGGAGCCAGAAGATCTCACAAGCAACACAGTTTTCTGGAAAACTTTGGCCTTCAGCTGCTGTGGCCATGGCTGGAGAAAAGGAAAGAGGTAACATGACTTCCAAAAGCTGACGGATGCTCTGGGAGTCTTTGGTTTGTCCAGGAACAGAGCTGCTTTAGCTCAGGAACTCGCAACATCTGTCCATTCACACTAAAAGGTCCAACGTGTAACATTTAGGATGCTCTTTTGGCAGAAATGGAATATAATATGCATAAAATATGTTTTCAGTAGTGTATAATCACTTGAATATAGGAATCGTTATGTTTTTGTGACCTCAGAATGAGCCTTTAGAGCAGTAGCCCAGATGGGACAAATGCTGGCTCTAGATAGGGCTGTTTGCCTTTTGCAGCCACCATAGTTTCTTCTTTGTGCTTGGAAGGGGAGGGTGAAGCAAAGGTGTTGCGATCTGCAACTACACCACTAGATGCCACTAAATCCTACACACTGGTCCTTTAAAGCCCCTACAAGTATTTTACCACCTCATGGTAATCCAACCTAATCCGACCTACTGGCAGGCAGTAAGGATAGCTATGAATAGCCAATCTTCTTGCTGATGGTCTTGTTTATATATATGTAATATAGAGACATCATTATTAAAATGAGACTGTTTCATAACCATTTATAAACTCCTTTATTTGGTAGTAAAGTAGTAAATATATATATATAAATATATTTACTATGTATAATATATTGATTTAAAAGGACTTTCAATTATTCAACAATTCATTCCTATCTTCCTCAGACTTCTCTCTGAAACAGAGAAGCGTCCTTTCATTGAGGAGGCGGAAAGACTGAGGCTGCAGCACAAGAAAGACTACCCAGACTACAAGTACCAGCCTCGGAGACGTAAGAACACCAAACTGGGACAGGGGGACTGTAGGCCCGGACTAGTCCAGCAGCAACATCAACAGGGCTTGTATAAGACAGAACCAGGGGTGGCTAGGTTGACTGGCGCAGGGGAGGTGCACCATCATTACCATCCAGACAGGACTGGTGAGATGACTCATACCATCCAGATATTAAATTTGAATACACTTTTTATTAGAGCAATGTTGCAATCGACCTCTTTCACCTTTTTTGCTCCAGCTTGAAAAAATGTTGATTAGTGTTGCCTTGGTTTTGTTTTCCAGGTCAGTCTCATGGACCTCCAACACCTCCCACTACCCCTAAAACAGACCTTCATGCAGGGAACAAACATGAGGGCCACCGGCCCGTGGACAGCAGTGCTGGTTCCGTTCCTCCCACCACCCGCCAGAACATCGACTTCAGTAATGTGGACATCTCAGAGCTCAGCACTGATGTCATCAGCACCATTGACGGATTCGACGTCCATGAATTTGATCAGTACCTCCCTCCCAACAGCCACAGCTCCACTGTTCTAACCCCACCAGATACCAGCCATGGACATAACAACCCTCCTGGATCCTTCACCCTACCTAACATCCACTCTCACTCCCACAGCCTTTCCACCTGGACACCTAAAAGTGGGACTTCCACAGGAATGCCACCATCCTCTTCCAGTCGTGACCCGCATGGGCTCCACGAGGACACCAGCCAAAAACCTCAGATCAAAACTGAGCAGATGAGCCCAGGTCACTACAGCAGCTCCTGCACCTCCACTCCTCCACCGCCACAACCTGAGTACACCTCCCTCGGTTCTGGCATCTGCCCTTCCTCCACTTCCTCCTCATCTTCCACCAACCAATCTGACTACACTGACCTTCAAAGCTCCAGTTTCTACAGCGCCTTCTCTGGGTACCCTGCCCATCTGTATCAGTACCCGTACTTTCACTCCTCTCGCAGGCCTTACACCACACCGCTTATCAACAGCCTGGCCTTGGCACCACCTCCACACAGTCCTCCCTCCGGCTGGGAGCAGCCTATCTACACAACACTAACCAGGCCTTGAAGAAGAGGAAACCCTTCAAATGTTTGGCCACTACACAGATTGGCACAGAACTTATAAGACAATGTTTGGAGATTTTGATGACTCAAGAATTAATTCCTAAGTTTTTGACCAGTATGGATTTCTAAAGGACAATGCTGATCTTTTTTGGGCAAAACTTCAAATGGCTCATGTTGTGCATCTATATATTGTTACATTTGTTCATTTTAATGGAAAAATATCTGAACAAAGATTCAGTGTTTTGACTCTTTTTTAAGTGAAAAGGATGGAGAAATGACATTTAAACATGCACTGGACGCTAAAATGGTCCATTAAAACTCCACACTAATGAAATGTTGGTATGCGAGTAGCACCTATTTAAGACAGGGAGTTTCAGGTTTAATGAAAGTTTTTCCACTCTTAATCTGGCTGAGTGAAATAGTTTCTTTACCTTCACCCTCAATGTGATCCAAAGTAGACTCTGATTAAAACTGAAGGTGTTTCATTTTTTTCCTTTTATGTGAAGGTTCTGCATTATTCTGTAAGGATTTTTTAGCAGTGCTGTATTAAAGCCCACCTTTGTTGAGTCCAAGACCAGGACTAGTCGCCACTGAGTCAAGACCAAGTCCAAATGAGAGAGACAGAGTTAAGAACAAGACATTTGGCATCCAGGCCTACGATTGCAAGAGACATTGATTGGCGGCCTGGTAAGCCAATGTCAGTACCTGTTCTAGATGTATTTTGAATTAAATCAATACCTGTTTTCTGAAAAAGCACGCATCATCAATGATTTTGTTTTGAAGGAGGAAGTTACTTCACAAAAAAAACCCATATATTTCCGGACTCAGTTGAGACTAACTAGAATATTTGGCGAGACCAATGGCCAAGTCTGAGACAATTCTGAGTGCAAATATCGAGTCCAAGACAAGTCAGAGACAATAGAAAAAAATGTCTCTTCCGAGACAGTGTGTCTTATTCTAATTAATGTTCAGTTACTCAGTGAGAGTTAGAGGATAAGATTCATAATGATCCCATGTCTGTACGCTAAATATTGCTGCCAGCTGGCCATTAGTTTGGCTTAGCATAAAAGCTAGAATCACTCTGTCCAAAGGTAAAAAAAATGACGATGATTTTTTAGACAAGCAGTAAATTGTGTGTGTACACAACAATGACATATCATCACTGTTTAAGTTGAACAGGTGCTTGTTACACATCAAACATTATCATTGTATATCGTGTTTCTGGCCACCTGACCTGGTCACCTCCTTTTAGCTCTGTTAGCACTATGAGATTGATTAAGAGAGAACTAAAACAGTAAGGTTGCATTCGGACAGCTAAACAGTGAACTTCAACTCACTATACAGCCAAGGGGAGCTGCAGATTCTGGTGAGAATTCTCTGAAGATTCATCCCTATGAGTGACCCCTTTCACACACGCATTGTTTTCACATTGTCATTTGATACATTGTTAATATTAAAATATTGATTATAGCTGCTTTAAGCACACTAATTAACATGTTCAATAACACAGACATATCATAACTGTGCTAGGTTATCTTTCAGCCGGACTACCTAGAGTCTTGTTCTAACCCCTGTGGAACCACAACTTTGGGGGCTTTCTGTATGAATTGAACAAACAGGATATAATGTGTTCATTAGCAGGCTGATAGACAAATTAATTCACCTTTGGATAAGCCAAAGCTGTTAAACCTCGTTTCTGGTCTTAATGCTAGCTAATAAAAACCGTCTCCTTGTAGCATTGTATTTAATGAACAGATATGTGAGTAGTATCAATCTCCTCATCTCACTGTGGCCAAGAATGCAAATAAGCATATTTCCCATATTTCCCTACTCTAAATGACATATTTACAGTCCTTGAGGGTAAAATTAAACTCATGTACAACCCCTTGAGCACTTTATCATCGTGCAGTTATTATGTGATTTAGTGTTCAAAATGTATCACTTCTGTATCTAGGCGAACTGCCATCAAAATGTCACGCACTGAGATTATGTGCAGGCTTTAACCATCCAAGTTATTTCACAGTACATTTCTCTTTCTCTCACATCAGGTGCAGGGTCCGACGAGGTGCAACTGCAGATTAATATAAAACTCAAGATCGCAACATTACGGGACACTCAGCAGAAACAATAGATTCCAATCTCATATCACTGAGGCCATTTTTCTCCCTTGGCTGGACTTCTTACTGCTGACCTGTTCCTCTCGGCTGTTTAATTTCCAGTTTGTTTCCAGTCCAACAGCTGCTCCTGTTGGGTTTCCTGTGAGGAGATTAGCTAATTTCACAGTCCTGGCTCTGGCTGGAGCGTCGGCTGCGGGGCCTGATGGACAGGGCAGCTGGATTGGGTTTTCTAGGCAATGTAAATAACTACAAGAACTACTCCACTGACTTATGACATAGAAAAAGGCTTCGACTTATCGACATGAGTCTAACTTTAATGTGTTTATTAAATTATCTAAAGAGAAGTTTTAAAGAACAAGTCTTACACACAAAGAATGTTGTAAACGTAAAATAGTTCAGAAATATAACCAGAATATGAAATTTTTCCTATAAAATTAAGGCCAAATTACTGAAGCAGCAGCTTTACCATTAATAAATGTTTGCTACATGTGCCAGCACCTCACTGACTGTATCATCTGCAGGACAAACACGGTGGCTGCTGAGCCGACGTCCTGCCCTGCTTTTAAACACTTCCTGTGGGTACGACCTGCCCGCTGCAGCTCAGTGGCTCACTGTCTGAGCAGTTTAACATGACATCCTGGTTGCCAACGACAACAAGACAGCCAGACAGAAGCAACATTGATTTACCCATAATTCCGAAAGGCTCTGGAGCCAGTGTGTGCATGTGGAAGTTTGTGGAAGAGTGGCGAGATCATCAGGTGACATTTACACCACCGGACCAGTTCACACTTTATCCTACTGTGAGTGTGCAACTCCACACATGGTGATCTCCTTTTGCAAGTGACTGATGAGCGCCATCTATAGTCATATAAAATAAATGAACAGCATGAGGCCTTTCCAAATAAGAAAATACTAGAGTACTACAGCACCTTCTGCAATGACCTTCTCCATACAAATGGCTGGCAAATTAAAGGACCTCACAGCAGTGTCTTTTTAAGGTGTTGGGGGCCACCATGTGCCTGCAGAACACCTTCAGTGTTCTTTGGCTTCAAGTCTCTGGGTGGATGAATGCAATTCCTTTTAAAAAAATATTCCCTCATTTAATGTTGATGGTGGTGGTGGAGAGCACCACCTTACATGCTGTTTCAAAAACTCCCATAGCTGTTCAATTGGGCTTAGATCTAGTAACTATAAATCTATGGCTCATATTGTTTTCATTCTCATCTATTCAGTCCAGCAACCCTCTCCACCCTGCGTCTACATTTATTATGTCTCGCCACTATGCTTTTTCCTGTTTCTATTCCTTTAAAGGAATAGTTTGCCATGTTGGGGAATATGCTGTTTTGATTATTTGCTGAGAGTTTGATGAGAACATGAATCCCACTGCCATGTCTGTGATGATTAGTAGGGTGCTAGAACCAGAAGGCAATTTGCTTAGCGTAGCATAAAAATAAGCCTACCAACACCCCTAAGGCTCACTAATGAACACATATCTCATTTCTTTAATCTGTAAAATGGAAATGGAAAAATTTGGGCTTTAAGGAGTTACAGACTTTCATAAAGAGCCAGGCTAGCCCAAGCTTTCAGTCTTTATGCAAAGTTAACCTAATCGCCTCCTGGCTCAAACTCTATTCTCTGATTTTACACATCTTTGGTGCTACTACTGCATATATGAAATTGTATTGCATTGTGGGTAATGTAGGTGCCAGGACAGTGAAGAATGTGTGGAATAAGGAAAACAATATATCTGATTCTGCTACATCGATTTTGGTATTTTTTTTATTGTACATTGTGAGTTCGACAATATTATAGCACTGCAATGCTAATGCTAATCAATGTAGTTTTCTTTTATTGCACAGACATGAAAGTGGTATCGACTTCCCATAATGTCAAACTATTCCTTTAATTTGTCACCTGTCATCACAAGTGAAAGAAAATCTGCAAACTAATTCGGTTCAAGGATGACAACATTTCACCATATGAAGATTTCACCTGACAGTAACAATATGCAAGCTCCCTTTTAAAGTAACAGGAGCGCCATCTGCTGGATTAATACATGTAACTGCACTTAAATAATAGCACTGCCTTTAAAGTACACTTGCTCGAACACAATAAGAAGTTTTCAGGGGCTCTAAAGGACAATTCAAGTTTATTTCAACGTGGGTGTTTTAAACTTTACCAAATTAATTGCTGGAACCTAAGAATGACATCACTACAACAAAGTCTTTGGTTTAAATGAATGGAAAGTGGGGTCTGTGATTCTAATACAATATAGCTTTGTCAAATTCAGCAAATAACTCCTCACAGTCTGCTAACTGTCCGTCCTGTGCATGTGGTGAAAATAAATGGTGTTTGTACACAGAACTGGCTCTATACATGGAAAAAAAGTGCCACACCCTTATTTCAGCCATGATTTGTGTGTCAGGTCACGTTAAACCACTTGTCCACGGACATTCAGCTTACTTTCTTAGTTTGCCAAGATATGCTGTTGTTGTGATGTTAGCTATAGTAGTGGGAGAGTTGTGAATATTGCTGTCTTGTTCTCTCTGTATGTCAGCTGCACAGCTTCGCTGACCCACAACCTAGTCAACATTAGTTACATTACATTCTGTCGTTGTTTACTCTATATCATGGTATTTGTCCTTTTTATTATCCATTTTTGCAAAGGCTTTTAAAGCCACGAAGATGTACAAATGCAAGTTTGCTAATGTTACCTTCCTTGTTAGCTTAGCTACAAACCTGCCTCTTAAGTCACTGTAGTTTTGTAAAAACAATTGCAAAAAAAACAACTAAATCTCGCTACTTTTTACTCCGTTGTGTTTTTGCTGCTGTGTTTGCGTGCTTGTATGTCTTTCTCCACAATTGCATACTGCACCTTTAAGTGTCTGTGTTTTGGGGTTATAAATGGCTATAAATTCTGTAGTATGTGGCATTGGTCCACATATATAATTGTCCATATACAAATAACATAAATACGTTATTATTACCTATAAGAATGAGGGCTAAATGTATAAATATAAAATGTAAAAACCCAGAATAAACCTTTAAACCTTGTGTTGAAAAGTGTCATATTTGTATTGTATGTAGTCCTAAGGAAGACACAGATATACCGAAATAAGGAAAAATCAAACACTGCCACTTGATTTCAGGTTCACCTGTATTAATGTTAAGATTCCCATAATGAAACTAACCATCACTGTGATTTAAGGGCCAACACAACAATGTGTCTTTAAAACAAGATGCAAAACGTAAATAAAACAGTTGTAGAAGTGTTATATAAATTACAATCCTGTCACATTACAATCCTTAAAAGCAGCAGTAACTGTCTACAATGACTCAGTATGTTCAACAGTACAAATAAATAAGAGAACAGCTGTCAGATTGAGGTTTTAAAAGAACCCTGTCTGGATGCAGATCGGCCACCCCCGGCTACGTTAACAGCGACGGTGATCACTGAGAGTTTGTGTGTTTTTATGCATATTTGTTGTTAACAGCACTTTGTAGGTTCAGGTTTAACAGGGTTTCAGTGCCAGAGGTTCAACCTCACAGCGTCCTCAATGAAAACGTCACAATTCCACACACACACACACACACACGGTAAGCCACTGTCATCAAAACTGTACATTCAATAAATTAACAATGCATTGTCTTTGTTAAGCAACCAGTGAAATGACTCTAGATTACATAATTACATTAGATTACAGGTAGAATGAACCATTCACAAGACGAAATCTGAGGGGGGAGGGGGGTTGTTGCAGGGAAAGGGTCCACATGGTTGAGAGGAAAGGAAGGATGATAATGTATAGCACAAGGTCGGTAGGCGCAATAGTGGTGACATCATCTACCCTTTGGCCTCTGATCGCCAACGTTTCAACCCACGGTGGGCCTTTAGTCCCATTAGAATTCAAGTTTTCTACACACAGATATACTGGAGTCCGTCCGACTCTCTCTTCTTTTTCTTCATCATCTTTTCTCATCCCGGCCCATCCCAAGACCCCCCTCTTGTCCCCCAACCCAACCCCCTGTGCCCACACATTGGAAGTGTCTCTGATCTGAATGAGACTGGGCCGGTCCGACTGAGCTGTGGCTCCCTGCGGTGGTCAAGGCTTGTGTTTAAAATGGGCCTCCACTGCAAAGACACACGAAAAGGTTAGGTTATACAGAACAATGTTTTGATATATTATAAACCAGTATGTGTTGTTTGACTTTATTTTTATAGCACATTAAATAGAAACCATTCAAGATGCTTTACAAGAGAAAAAATTAAAGGTACCCTGTGGAGTGAACAAAGAAAACCCCATTTACAATCACTGTTTCTCACCCAGGTGCATTAAGTGTATCCTTGAGGCCTAATAATATGAAAAAACAATAAGCATTGGCAGAGCTGCTTTTTTAAAGAATTTGAAACCGACTTTGTTTAATTTCAGGTCCAGTGTGAAGGATTTTGTGGCATCTACGGTGGTGGCAAAACGTGCAAAAAACGCATGGCCACTATCTAGAGCCATTGTTTGGTTTGTCCCCTCGTGGCTACTGTAAAAAAACATGGCGATTCAACATGGCGGACTCCGTGGATGGCAACTCGTGACATCTATTGATACAAACGGCTCATTCTAAGGTCAAAAACATAATGATTCCTATATGCAGTTGATTAAACACTATTGAAAACATACCTATGCTTATTATATTCCATTTCTGCCTGCTAAATGTTACACACTGGACCTTTAATACTGGCTCGCTAACTGTCCTCTTCTTTTTCCTTCCCTTTAATGGTGCATTGCTACATTTCTTGGCACGTTATCCCCACTATTATTAAAACAGCAAGGAACCATTGGCAGGACTGTGGATGTTTCATGCTTGAAAAAAAGAAAATAAATATTTGGTTTGATTTGAACTGTGTACAGCATTACAAGATACAGTGCTGTAATGGATGCTTTTTTGTCTTACAACTTGGACAATGCGTCCCAGAAACACACACATTTTCAGGGAGCAATGAAAGACAGGCAGATCGAGAGATCACTAGCTCCGATGTGATGTCATGACTTTGGCTTACATGGATGAGGATCATTAACTCGTTAGATTGTGAGGTTGACCCATTCAGAGAGACTACAAATGTGTCTTTACCCATGAAAGTGGGTGGGTCAGTCAGGAAGCAGTGGAAGAGAATGCCCAGCTGCCAGTAAAAGCTTGTTAGCAGAGGATGGTTTCGATCCATCGACCTCTGGGTTATGGGCCCAGCACGCTTCCGCTGTGCCACTCTGCTGACAACCACCCCAGATGGGACTCAAACCCACAATCCCTGGCTTAGGAGGCCAGTGCCTTATCCATTAGGCCACTGGGGCTTCACAGGCAATATGATCACCAGTTCTGTGCTCATGCAGTGGGTTCCACTGTTAAACAACACTATGGGAAGCACAATGTGTGGTTTTGCATAGCATAACAATGGCCCCTGATGCTGCTGTAGCTTTAACAGACACAAAACATTAAAGAGAAGCACAAAGAGGGCACAGTAAAGCCCTGGCAGGATAGAGAACCACAGACAGAAACTGTGACAAAGTGCTAAAATATGTAAAGAAGAACAGGGAAAACATAAGACTGTATCACTCTTTGAACAGGCATAATTTGCAACCAAGCGTGTAGGAGAAGCTATTGTGGCCATGGAACTCACACACGCATATGGCCCTATCTAGAGCCAGTATTTGGTTTCTCTTTCCTGGGCTACTGTAGAAACATGGCAGTTCAACATGGCGGACTCCGCCATGAGGACCTGCTCCCTCTGTAGATGAAATGTCGTCTTCTAAGGTAATAATAGTAAGGTGATAATACACTCATGAAAACATAGTCAGGAATATTATATTGCATTTCTACCAGTACATCCTCCTAAATGTTACACACTGGACCTTTGAAAAGATACAAAGAATGGACCATTAAAACCATTGCTCCATAGTGCTGGTAGCAGTCAAAAACTCCAAAGGGTACCTTTAAACATAGAACCATAAACACTAAAAACAAAACAGGAAAAAGTGAGCCCTTTTTTTCACACCTGCATATTCCTGCGGCCTCATTGGTCGATTGATGACCCTCTGGAAGGCAGCTATCCAATCCCGTTGCTCGGCCTCAGTCTCACAGGCAAACAGGAATTTCCTGTCTGGCGTGACGATGGTGATGCCGTGGTTCCAGTGGTAGCCCTGCGTGGACGGGGGCAAGCCAGACAGGACCGTGTAGCTGTTCTCCTTACTGCCTATGAACACCTCACCACGGGCATAGGCATCCTGGGAGACAGAAAGAGAGCGAGGATCAGTCAGATCAGTCAAAACAAAAGAAGAGGTCATACGGGTGCAAGTCTCTTCTTACCAGAGGGTCTTTGAAGTACATGAGTCTCCTGTCATCCATAGTAAACCACCTCTTCTTGAAGCCCTCTGTGTGCTGTGGCAGAGAAAGACAGACAATTAAATCGTGAAGAGAAAACAAAAGGGAGTCATTGCAAAGAGTATAAGCTATCATAAGAGGTCTACAGGGTGTAGAGATATACTGCACTAACTAGAGCATCTAGTATACTGTATAGCACAGCAAGCTGGTGGTCAGTCAGATGAAAGATGAAAAAACGATGGTTCTGATATACAAAATTCTATATTTTTTTGGCCAAATCCCTAGTCTTTGCATTACTTTGTATATCATACTAGATTGATTTAGCCTTTTCAGGCCTCAGCTACTCAAGTGAACGTACCTAAACTTATCAAAATTATACATCCTGGGAATGAAAAATCACTCAATGCAATGTGTTGGGGTACTGCAAGTAGACATCGTAGCTTCATTTTAAGTGTTCATAAGGGAAAACAAGTTGGAAAGCATTCTTTTATACTTGACCTGTGGACACTTTTGTCAGATTAGGGCAGATGTAACTGTGAACCTGAGGCTTAATAATATTATTATCTCTAATTTCACTTTAGACAGGTGGTAGGATCCAGTTAGTATAACCACAGCACAAACCTTTGGACCCGTTTTCTCCATAAAGCCTTCCTTCATGAAGTTTCGGGTCAGTTTGGGCACCAGCTGGAGAAGAAGAGAAGTAGAAGTAGTAAAATAATTATGCCACACACTGTAAGATGGATGGAGTTTTGTGAAAGAAAGACTCAAAGGTCAACCCCTTACAGCCATCCATCTCACAGCGGATGAATAATTTGTAAAATCTGGTGACAATCAATTACAGCACTGAAAAATACATAATTCCTCCATTCTTGGTTTAGGAATGCATCGTGATCAGACAGCTTCGCCTTCCTGACTACAAGCTCCATAACAGTGGGTTGTGAGCTTAAATCGTTCTCGCTCACCTCCTCGTCACTCGCTCCGGGGAAGGCCACCTGTAGGTAGTGGAACCTGGCCGCTCTGATAGCATTGAACCAGTCGACCATCTCCTGTAAAAAAAAAAAAAAAAAAAACAACCCTCAGTGGCAACATGTCCTGCTGGAATTCACACAGTACCTATTCCCGATATGTATTTTAGGTCCAGAGTGAATAATGTGGTGTTTTTACAGTTTCTCTGATGCCCCTGAAGGCATCCTTTCCACACAGTAAGGTGTAGTCAAAGGCAATCTGTGCTGTGCGGTTGCTGCAGTGCTGTCGATAACTCCACCACAGAACAAGAGTGACAGTGACACTGACTGAACCCAATGAACCGGCTCTGTCACAGCTGTCAGTAACACCGCTCAGCCAGCAGAGGGAGCAGTGCTACTTATGTCTAAGGCTCCACTTACTCACCTGAACAGTTCAGTAGTCTTCTCATTTTTGAGGAACTTCTTTCTTTCTTTCTCTCTCTCACACACATAGAGGTTAAAAATCAGAATGGTGATTGTTTAAATTGATAATGGGACTAACTTTTAGTTTTTACAAGTCCCAAAGCAGTCCTAGACACAAAACCTTTTTTTATTTTTTTTTTGGAAGGTTCTTGGGATGGACTTTGTAGGAAATGTACAAACCGTTAGTCTTTTAGTCACAGCAAATCAGCTGAACATACAAAAATGTAAACTGTGCCTATAGGCAAGTATACAATTCAGCAAATATAGTCAGTTTTTCCTGTCAAGAGGATTTAGGCACTTTTATCAGGAAATTCTCTGGAAATTTAAAGCTAACTATGCAACTACTATATTAATGCCTTGTTCTTTCTTACACACCAAAATAAATAAGTGGGTACTTAGTGCCTTGGCCAAGAACATCTGTCTACTTCTCTATCATTAGTACCAAATTACATTGGTCTTTCCAGGAAACTTCCTTCCTAGGAAATTATATAGAAATTACGGGACCCATAAAATGAAGTGTTACCATAGCATTTACAGATATTTTCCTAAAGGGTTGCTGTTGACCCTACAAACTAAACATAAAATACCACTGCTTTACTGTTAAACGGAAAAACAAAGAATAATAGATGCATTTATCTGAATTTCAGTCGACCAACGCATGTGGAATGGACTCATATGTGAATGTAGAACAAGTAGACATTGGCGTCAAGGGCTCTGACCTCATCACCCCCCACAAGGAAGCACCACACTCAGCACAGCGGGGAGTGGGGAGTGATGATAACTCCCCTCCTCCGCCGGGGGAAGACATTCTCAGACCCTCCAGGTGGATGATGAGGTGTATGAACGGCAGCAGTGCGGCAGAAGCAGCAGCAAGTGACAAGTGAAAGACATGCAGTACCTAGCTTACAGGAAGCTATGCATCATCAGAATGGACAGAACCAGAGTCCAATCTAACAAATCCTCTTTGTAATGCAACCTGGATTAAATTCAAAGCCATTCAAGAAAACAAAGCCAAAATAAAACTTAATTCACATTAGCCCTGCAGTGCAGTGTGTATGTGGTAAGATGACCTTCTCTACCGTGCTGGCTTTGATCTTTGAAATGAAACAATGTGTATGAGGTTAAAGTGCTGACTTTCAGCTTTAAGGCTATTCACATCCATACTGATTGTACACTGTAGCAATCGCAGCCCTTTTTTCCCCCATAGTACCCCTGTTTTTGAACAGTAATACAATTGCTACTCTTTATGCTGAATGTGGATGTAGACACCTTTGAATTACAGCTAAAAGTCAGCACTTTAACCTCATTAGCCGCATTTCCGCTGCATAGTACGGCCCGACTTGCTCTTATTTGGTTTTCCATTATGGGTAGTATTCGGTACCTGGTGCTTATTTTGATACCACCTCGATCGAGGTTCAAACCGAGCTGAGCTGACGCTAAGAAGTGACACTGATTTGCCATAGGTCAGTCGTCATCAACACATGAACAGTAATGATATTTCCAACTCCAAGTGTGTTTGGTAAAGCAGACAGCATTCATGTCATTCTGGTAACCCTGTATCAGTGCCCTGTCTTGACATATAACCAACATGTTGCTGCACTGTACATGTGTACAGTGAAAGTGTTTGACAGTGTACCTTTGCGTCACTGTGGTAGACAAAGATGTTCCTTGTGCTGTTGTCTTTCAGGTAGGTGATCTGTAGGCCGCAGGGGTTGCCAATCTTGGCCGGCTGGAAGGTGGCATTGAGGGTCTCGATTTTCATCACCGCTTTGGGATCCCTGGCCTTGGTGGAGGGAGACATGAACCACAAACAGGACACAGTCATACCCCACAGTCGACTGTAAACACTTTTAAAATCAGCTGCATCATCTCGCTTACATCCTGCTTGTTGAAGTACTTCAGCGCTCCCTCCCTCTCTGACAGGATGAACTTTCGGCTGAGAAACTGACCGTTGTCTCTTCCTCGTTTCCATAGAAACCCCTCTCTGTAGCCTGGGCAGAGAGAGAGAGAGAGAGAGAGAGAGAGAGAGAGAGAGAGAGAGAGAGAGAGAGAGAGAGAGAAAAGTGTGTGTGGTTGGGAGGTTGGTATCAAAAACCCATCAGAGCAGATGAGAGATTAAAACAGAGGAGGCATTTGTAACAGTAATGGTGAGATGTTGTAACTGGTTGGCGTAAGATGATACTTCAGTTAAGTCGGAATCAAAGATCGTTTGAAATCTCATTTTGAAAAGGAGGGAGGAAAAGGAGACGGAGAGAGAGAGAGAAAACAAGACGACAACAGACAAGAGAGGAAAGGGTAGCATGAAATACAGCATGAGACAGCATACACACAGACTTTATTTTCTCTACATCCTTTTCCATGTTAATGATAAGCTGTTCTATTTATAGCCTGCAATGTCTTCTTCTTCAGTCTATTTTGGTGAAAAGCTCTGCCTACACTGCCTCCTTTTCTCTGTTTTCTCTTCTATTTCGGTCACGCTGTGAAGTGTTTTCTTTCTAATCTGGATCTATTTTTGTGGCTTAGTGGGGGAATGATGTCTTAGCATAATCAGGTGGTGTTCCAAAGAAGGGACACATTTGCATTTCAGCCATTTGACTGATGATGTTTTCCAGAATCAACTTGAAAACTGAAAATTACATGGGATTAAAGATAATTTGCCTTGCCTTGAAAGATAAGATATAAAAGTACACACTAAAATCAATTAAATAATAAAGAAAGACAGATTATTAAGTGTATGAAACAGGAAGAAATTAATTAATGGAAATTACACTAATGAGAGCAGCGAGAATGAATCAAAACAGTAAAGTTGTAAAACCAAAACACTGAGCTAAAAGACACTAAAATGCTCCATAGAGTTAAGGGAAACTGCAGACTGTGTGGTGTCATACAGTTGTACTATGTGTGATTATTCGAACAAATGATTGTATTGGGCGAGTTTGTCATTATGAGCGACCCCTTTGACATTACATGCAGTCATTTGAACCATTGGTAATATAAAATAAAGTGCAGCTTTAAAGGAAAATGATCTTTGCTCAGTACTTGTCGGCACAATGTGAGTTGGTACTGGTGGACTTTCACCACAGGGTAGATGGTCAATGGTAAAAAAAAAAAAAAAAGCCATAATCTCACATATAGTAGGAAAAGAATATTCCTGGTATCATCATTTAATCCTTCACAGACCTCATTTTCAGTTTCTTCACTCTACTGCTCTCTTACTCATTCCCCTTATTCAATGCCCTCCGCCATTGATTACTCTCCTCTGTCTTCTTGTCCTCTGCACTCACTCCACTCCGCGTGTGTGTATGTCTTTGTGGCTGTGACTTTCTGACGTGAAACATTCACCTACACTGGCATTACCTCATCGATCAATAGCCCTCCTTGTCCCCACCCTCGCCTCCGTCCCAGACACTCTTTTTCTTCCTCCTAGCCTTTGCATACTGGATCAATATTAACATTGGCCGCTGTGGAGGCCAGGTTACTGCCAGTAGTCAATTTCAGCCGCCCACTCCCGCACCCACACATACACACCCGCAGATGTCATGCACCTCACACTGAGTGATGAAGTGGGCATGAATGCACAAATAGAGATGACAGAATGACTCATATCATTACACTGTGCATGTGTGCGTGTGTGTGCACGATTCTCCACTGTAACAATAAACAGATGAGGTCACTGCAAGCCAATCAGGAAGCTCAATCTCCAACAAGACATGAAATGTATATAAGTGGACACGCACCTTACACACAAATACTGTACCCTCAGCTGCCACACACAACCAACCCAAACACACACACACACACACACACACACACACACACACACACACCGTTTTAATGGCAGCTCTATTCTCCGGCGGTGACAATTACAGTGTCACTGCTTGAATATGGCAACGGCGCTTTAAATGGCAAACACAACCACTTAGGGGAAGGAGGATAAAGAAGAATGTCTGAAAGTCGGCGAGGGATGTTTCAGGATAATGGAATTCCAGCTACTGGCATCCACTAGGAGATGTTTGTCCGAGGAGTTTTCAAGGTTCTGCTTATCGAAGGGTAAACAACTCAAGATTGACATGATAATAGACCAGCCATTTATGAATTTTCTACATATGGAAGAACTCTACATATGAGTGTACTTCTGCATGCGTGTGTCTTCTTTGTGTCCTTCTAACTGGGCAATTGCATCTGATGCTACAAGAAAATTGGTACAAAATAATTTTTTCAATTGCAGCTTGCAACATTTGGAGGCAATTGGCCATAATAATGTAGCAACATGGTAACATTATCTCCACTTGGTAATATTTATTGTCTTTATATTCAGAAAATGATTATGAAAGCTACTTATAGAAAATCAGGAAATGAAAACACTGCTATGTTTTACAGCGCTGTAGCATAAACAACTGAACTCCCCACGTGTCCACATAATGGTGAAATAGTTTTTTAGTAATAAGGCTATAAGATAAGATGAGAAAAGGATAAGTGAGCATATTCTGTTGTTTGCGGTTCTCTGAATGCTGAAGCACGAACATGATATTTTGACATATTTGGGAAATAGGTAGCAATCTTCTCTCTCTGTCTTATTTCAGTCAGAAGGTGTACTAATGAGGAAAATCAGCTTCAGCTTGAAAATAAATCGCCTTGGATGAGGGTCCTCACAAGTATAATAATGCAAACACGCCAGTATGCACCTACCTGCAGAGTAAGGCTCCTGCTTTTCGATAAACTCAAACTCATTCCTCTCGTACTTGGCTCTGATCCACTGCTCTCTCAGCAGCCTGGAGACAACACACAGAAGAACACACACAGTTAACTTTCACATCAGTAACACACTCACTAACTGCCCTGATACACACACACACACACACACACACACACACACACACACACACACACACACACACACACACACACACACACACACACACACAGTATGAAACCTTTTCACATTATTACTTTTACTGTAACATAGAAATAATAGGAGAGAGTCAAATCAATACACATTGATATTCTGAGGCACAGTAAGAATCCTATGTCATGATATGGTGTATGTTCGATATGTGAGGAGCCACCATGTATGAGTGAGTTTGGCTTGTAACATTATCATCTCTTCCTCTTTGAGTATTACATAGGAAATACTAGGAAATATCAAATGTCTCTGTGCCAGCGTCTATCTTTTTGTTGCCTTTGATCGAACACGGGGATGAGTCCCTACAGGCATCTGTGACATGAAGTATTTCAAACTCAAATGGACACATTAAGACGTGCATTTCTAGTAAGTACAAAGTACTTGAAGCTGTCAGTAAATCATATGCATTTATTCCATTTGGAGAAGTGAAAATGCACACTGGTCATCAAGTGCTGGTAGTCTACATTAACAAAACATTTTAATGCTATTTTTACTTTGTAAGGATTAAATCACCCTTAATTGTGTATACATATTAGCATTTCTTGATATATATATATATATATATAGCTTATCTACAGTATTTCAAGGAATTGTTTGAGATTTTGGGCTATTTTCACTTTCTTCCCAGAGAGTTAGATGAGAAGATCAATAATCCCTAACTTCTTTTATCGGTCCACTAAATATTAGGCTCTGCTAGCAGCCAGTTAGCTTAGCGTAAAGACTGGAAGCATTAGCCCAGCTCTGAGAGTATCTTCCTGGAGTCAGGTTGCCAGGCAACCCACAGAGAGTCCAGGAAGTTACTGCTCCTAACCAAGGTGTATATATCTGTATATATCTTAAAACCACACACGTCATTTTTAGCTACACTTTGTTTTTTGGCAGGCCAGCTGAGTAGGCTGTTTCTAGTCTGTAGGCTAAGCTGAGCTAACCGGATGCTGGCTCTAGCTTCATGTTTCACCCACAGAGATATGAGAGTATTAATCTTCTCATCTATCTCTCAGCATGAAAGAAAAAAAGTTTCCCAAAACCTTTTTGTTTTTTTGTCATTTTAATTTGTCCCCTGTTGTTACATTAGGTTAAACTGAATAATGGAATGACCCTTGAGCAAACACAGACTCATGCATCACAACATTAACGCATTAAACATAATCACTGCCTTTGTTTCCACTGTTTCCACCAAAACTGCATATAAAGGCGGCCTGAATTTTAGAGCTTCTTCCTCTTCAGTGTGAGGAGAAACAAATGGCACCAGTCAGCACATCACCATGCCAACAATCTCTCTCATACCGTTTCCTTCCCTACCTCTCTCAACCATTCAGTCCCCCCTTCATGCTCCAAACTGCTTTCATCCTCTACTTCCGTACACATTTCTACCTTTATTTGCCCCTTTTCTCTCTTTAGTAGAAAAAAACAGCCGTTCTCAGCGTCAAGGAGCAAAATGTCTTACTCATACTCGCAGATATTTCTTTGACTGACACCTTCTAGTGACACGGGATCTTAAACACTAAACCCTGTGGCTCTCAGGGGACTAGAGTGAGTGAACACAAACAGGCACCATGGCACAGACACTGAGAAAGACACTATTTTAATAAAATTCTGTTCTCTGGAGGGAGGCAGACACAGAAAGATGGGTTGACAAGCCTAAAATAAATGTCTCTACTTTGCAGTGTCCTCTAGATAAAATAAAAATGTATGCTTACAGAGCTTTAATGTTATTAAAAAAGTTAAAACTTAATTAAACTAGTGTGACTCAATAGTTTAAAAGAACATGAAATAATCCATGGGGGTGTGTGGATGCTTTTTATAGGCCTTTTACACACACAAAGAGGAAGAGGAAGTGATATTTAAGTGATATACACAGTGAGAGGTGTGAAAAAGAATAATATGTATTCATTTACTGTAACAAAGTCCCACTGAACAGCATGGTGCAGCACTTTTGCACTGGGATGTACGTGCCACTGCAATCAGCATTTTCTGATCACACTCAGTTGCAGGCAGTTCAACATGGGCCAATATATATACATACAAATAAGAAATAGAAATATTTTATATTAACAAAAAATTTAAATGACTATGTGTAACATGAAAGGTGTTGCTCTTAGTAATGTACCCACAGGTAATTAGCACCCAACACTGCAGTGTCCTGCAGTTGCTCTAGACTGTTTTATCATCTTTCAGCTTATAGTTTTGGTTTTATGGCCCACAGCTTTCCTGTAGTGGCTTCCAGAAGCAGAAAAAAACGCAGTGCATGTTACCTGTCCAGCACCACATAGCAGACAGGATATAGTGGAGCATTTAGCAACGTAATTAAAAATACCAAGGTACATTTTAGCAAGAAGCATCCCACTGCTGAGCTTAATATTCTGTGACATTCCATGCTAACGACGGTTGCCATCTAAAGACGACAGTGTTGAGAAAACTGAAAACACAATCTGCAGCTTCAATCAATTTACTTTAGATTTCTTTTTGTTCACAACTGCATTGGCAAAGTGTTTTTAATTCAGCCTCTTCTCCAACAGTGACCAAGGCCTGTGGGTATTGTAGTATTTATACCTGTCCGCCATGCTTAAATTATGAACAAAACTTGATTTCTCAGAAATGAAGTTTAAATAATTCATACTGGTGGTCATAACATAAACATATTCGATTGTTTCATTAGCCGGCAGAGTCCCGTGTTTCTGCCTTAAGTAAAATTGATGATATTGTTTATAATAAAATTTTTAATGGTAATACAGAATGGGGGAAAACACTTCCAAACCAGCTGCTGATCCCCTTCAAACCTCTATCATAGGTGTTTTAAAAGAAAAAAAGATACTGAGCTCAAAGATGGCGCCCAGTCACTCGAACAAAAATTGCCCACGCAGTGCATAAAAAAGAAAATGTTTTTCAGTTTCTAGGTTTGCTTCCACGTTGTGTGGCCCACTGCACATGTGCAATTGTGTTTGTCCTGCTGGCCCCTCTCATGCCTTGCACATAGACTTCACATTGACATGGCAATGTAAATGGTCAAACAAATAAATACAGCTTTTCTAAGCAGTTTGGGGTGTTAGGTCAACACTTTTACAGTTTTATGGGGGATTTATTTTAATGCAGTACCACATATGACCACCAAACGGCAGCAAGGCTGAGTGACATATCCAGCTCTCTTAATCATTAATTCATTTTGACAAACTAAGTGTTTTCTTGTCGCTCATTCTTGGCCGTTTTTCTATGAATTTAGTTCCTCGCACCCCCCTGTAAGGCTTTGGTGACCCCTAGTGGAGGTGCCGACCCCCAGGTTGGAAACCACTGTCTAATACATCCAAGATCTTTAGGCATTTTTTACAGTACACAGTACATAAAAAAAACAGGTGTTACTGATAATATTAACGTTTGCTCCGTTCTATTCAGCCATTATTACTTTCATTATTTACGGCTGTGCTTTCCATGTTGGGAAATACAACACAAAAAGGACGCACTAATCTTTTTACAGCTTATAAAGGAGGAAACAAGAGTCAAAACATAAGTGAACTTATAAGTCAACTTTGATATTTTGTTCACCAAAGGTTGTATTACACATTGACACACAAACATTGACCTTCAAGGGGATACTGGTGCCATTATGAAAGTTCAGTGGAGAACTGACTGAATATGGAATAACTACGCAAAAAAAAGGAGATAGTTGTAAAGTTCATACTGTCATAAGGTAGATTGGCACTAAATCTATTGTACTATACTGTCTTTAACACTAGTATGTGCTCCAAAACACTAGTAGTAGTGGGAGTCAGCTCAGTTAGCCTAGTCAAAGTGTTAATCCAGTTAACACATATTTTCTCTTTTCAGACAACAAACATAAGCTGCTTGTATAAAAATCTCATTACTGTGTTATACTGTGTATGATACAAAGCTGCAGCATTATTCATGCTTTGAAAGGAAGAGTACTTACTTGCAGTCAGTGTGTGTTGGTCTATAGTAGAAAGCGGGGACCTTCTGCTCATATTTGGCCTTGGCTGCAGTGTTTCCCATTGCAGCCATCAACTGAAAGAAAAAGACAAGACAACGCAACCTGGTCATCTAAAAAGTGTACAGTCGAATATCACCTCAGTAGAATATGCAGTAGTTTCAGACATTGCTGCATTTAAGATGTCAAATTTAATCTAACAGCATATTTAACCATGTTGTTAACCAGCGACATTTGATAGGCATTTTATTTTATTCTGGCAATGCTTTTTTGGTGTTTGGGAACCAGCCATAAACATTTTGAGTGGATATACATTGTGCAGCTCTAATGATGGTAATAATAATATTCTACTGTATATTTTTACATCTTAGAGAAATTGTGCAAATTTTGATAACACATTTCAAAATAAAATCAGATAAAATAAAAACATACAACCAACATCTTTGCTCCTAAAATACGTTGTAAAATAAGAAATGCCACTAGGAAACACTTTTTACATAACAGCAGCCATGCCATTTCAAGGAAATAAGACCCAAAGAATGGTGACAACAAAGCTACAATAGGAAAATAAGAAAATAATATTAAACTTTAAATGAGACAGGCATAGAAAATCTTAAGTATGACAGAACGTCTTCAGTTGACAATGAGGCCCCTGCATTGCAATAGGATTAATAGCGGAAATGGCACATATCTGCCTTCTGCCCTCGTTCCCTCCATTGTCGTTTCATCCAAGGATAATCCCTGAGTCCAATCCAGCTGGCTGAATCCCTCAACACGCCTCTCTTATCCTCTAAGGGGCTCTGGAAGGGATGTAGCACTGTGGCGTTTTATTGTGAAGGTCAAATAGCGGCAGAAAATTCCACCAAAAAACAAACCTCTGAAGAAAGTCATGGAAATTAACACGCGACACACCTGCTGCCAAAATATGATGCATCTGACACTTCGGAGGTGACATTTATAACATGATATCAGTATCATCAAAACAAAAGATCAGGAATGTGTTGCATAACCACCTCTGCTCAGTAACCACTTCATTCGGTTCGCCTTCCCTTTATCTTAACTGCTTACTATTCCAGACTGTGAGTTGCAGACGTTACTGTTCAATAATATAACCAAATCTTCATGATGACGTGATTTACATGGCAACAACAAATGAGACTGAGAAGTCTGATTTTGCCTCTTTACAGTGGCATCGCATAAAAGCAAGAGCTGGGGTCTCATTTCTCTCCACCATCACACAATACAAAGGATAAATCTAATTTGTTTTACATCCATCTACTCATGCACGTACTGGACCATTCACATACAGAATGCCAAATATGGTCGTTGTGGAAAAAGAAATAAGAACTAAGATAAAGATTTTAAAAAATCACAGTGAGGTTGAAACACTGCCGCGCTCCTGTGTGAAAGCTTCCCAGCAGGCAAAGGAATGGATTGGACTCTCCCTCAGTTTTTTGTATTTATTATAGACCTTAATTATGCCTAGCTTTAAGCCTTGATATTATATTTAAACGGGTGAGTTATATAAAACTTGACCCCCATAGTTATAATGAATGGTGAAATTAGCTATAGAATATATTTTATATTTTTCGTACCACTGTTATCATGTTAATTTCTGCTGTAAAGTTGGGCATTTTAATATGGGGCCTTATGGAGATTGAGTCACTTTTGATGCCAGCCTAAGTGGTCATTAGAGGAACTGCAGCTTTTGTTACTTCTGTGTTGGCTTCATTTGCCAGCAATGGAGGTTGCCACTTGGTTTTAAGTGTGTTCCATCTTCTCTTAAATGTACTTTTGAATGATTTTCTTGTTTATTTAATTATTTATAATTATATTATATAATTCATTATTTTATTGTTCTTAGTTTGACAACTGTCTGGTTTTCAGCCATATTACCAATTGCCCAATAGCCTATTTTAAGGCATGAAGCCATTATTCAGAATAAAATAGTTATTTATTTTAAGAAAGGTTGATCTCAAGACCAAACTGTTTTGGGGACTCCCTGAGTGGAACTTCCCACTGGGGAGCACCCCCAAGAACTATACAGGCCCTTTTGAGCTGGGAGAGTACCTAATCAAAAGTAGGAGCTAAAAAAGTCCCTCAAAACGGTGTTCTAAGAACTGAAATTGTTCCTAATTACTGCAGTGTGGAAACAAAAAAAGAAGGGGGGGTCCTCCAACTGTTCTTAGAACTATAAAAAGTTCCTCCGGTCTGAGAACGCCTAATGACCTTCTATCGTCATATCCCAGACGCCTTTGGGATTAGAGGGACTAGGAAATATCGGCAGGATCTTGGTGACGTTTTCACTGTACGTCATCATGAAGGATGACCCCTGTGGGACATTTGTGGCAAAGTATTACCAAGTATTAGCTAGGTGCGGCTAATAAACTGGATTCTATTGTAAAGTGTCTCCTCTGATTGTGGGTGTTTTATTGGAGGGGGACCACAACAGCTCCAGAAGTCTCAACAATAAGCTCTAGCATTTCAAAATCACCCCTAAACTCTCCCAATACTACAATTACAGACAGATTTAACACAGATAACACAAAGGCCCTCGCTCCCCTTTTTTCCTACACTGCAATGAAATCCAGTCGTCTCTCCAATCTCTTAATGCTCTGGTACTGTTCTCGCCTCATACTGCCTCCCCACTCTCCCCTTAAGTCAAATCCCCATTACATCCCAATTATTGTCCTCCCACACTTCCAACCTCCCGTTTTTCATCATGACTCACATCAGCATCACCCCCCCCTTTTTGTCACCCATCGGTGGTGTTAAAGCGCTGACATGATCCATTCAAGGACAATTTCTCGCTTCCCCAGCAGAGCAAAACCTCAAAAATACGTATTTCTGTGTTTACAATTTTGCACAGAACTCATATTTCTTGCTGACATATTTCTGTTTGTCGGCTTGTTTGTACGTCACGCAACAGCTCAGCTTCTTTTTACACACAGGAGAAAACTGTCCTAATGGAATGATACTTTATTGATTGAGGAAATTCTCTCCTTCCAAAGGGAGGTCAGCTGAAGATCAATGTTCTTGAGCAGATAAGAAGTCAATGTCCTGTGCAAGGACTACAGATATCTTGAGTCACTGGTATCAGAGCCAATCAAAGCATCTTTAACTGATTGATGCTGGGTATATTAAGCCAGATAAAACTCTGATCCTTGCTGTAACCCATTGTTCTCCAGTTTCCTAAAAAAAACCCTCCACCACAGACCTCCAAGTGCAGCGCAAAAAGCTGCTTCGGGTTTAAAAAAGCATCACCATCACTTCGCCTTTCTTTCAGTGACATGTTTCCTCATCCTGCCTTACTTTCTGTCACATTGTTAAGAAAATGTCCCCAGACTGGGTCGTTTCCATAGCAACAAAAAAATAATGGTACATTTTTACACTCTCTTGTTACCATGGGCTCCAGACTTAATATTCTTTGTCTGTATTGTTGCATATTCACCCCATTCAAATACTAAATATGCATTCTTATGTTGCACGCACTGGCATTTGCACACAATTAGTATGCAGACTTAACAATTTGGACACCGTTCATGTCGTTATATTTGGCCTGTGCATGAACCACTTGCACAAACATTTTTGTTCTTAAAGGCACAGTTCCAAATTTTGAGGAATTGCTTTCGTGCCAAGAGTTAAAGGACCAGTGTGCAGGATTTACTGGCATCTAGCAGTGTAGCTGCAGATTGCAACTCCCTCTCTTCACCCTCCCCTTCCAAGCACAAAAGAGAAACTACGGTGGCCATGAAACATGCAAAACACTGTCTGGATTAAACAAAGATACAACATGTTAATCAGTGAGGTTTATACGTGTCTGTAGGCAGATTTTGTTACATTTATACAGAGCTAGGCTAGGTGTTTTTAATATTTATGCTAAGCTAGGCTAACCGGCTGCTGGCTATAGCTTCATATTCCTAGCACAGATATGAGAGTGGTATCAATCTCCTCATCTAACTTTCGGCAAGAAAGAGAGTTGTACGTATTTCCCAAAGTGTTAAACTTTAGTTAGTTATTCCTTTAAGTGGAACGAACCAGTGGTTTAAGAAAAAGTGATGCTCTCACTCCATCAGCTGCTGCAGTGCAACAACGATGCAAGCTGTATTATTTCGGGTGCCTAAATACGACTACTAACACTGTGGTGGTCTGCTGATTCCTGACAGCAGGACGTACAGCTCAGTGGTGTGAAGTTCCTTTAACTCCTTGGTGACACAGTGAAGGAAACTCGCCCACAAACAGAGCAGAAGAGGGAGCATTGTATGTCAATTTAGGGGCGGGGATTGTGCCTCACAAACACACACCTGATCATGAACAAGTGGCATTTATGAGCTTGAAACAAGTGCATCAATACAAAAGAATAAATAAAAGATTAAAAAGATGTTCTTGCATGAGGCCCAGTGTCTCAAATGTATAGACTGTTGGAATGAAGTAAAATGACACCAGTCAAATATTAAATGTCAGCAGTCCACAGAGAGAAAGGGGGAAGTGCTCTTTTATTTTGGAAGTGCGCATGTTTTCGTCAGGATTTTACCTCCACCTCACTGGCATCCCATGTGTCCTGCACAGACTTGACCCGGCTGATGTGGGGGATGCTCCGGTGGAGGAGCGAGCAGGCCTGGCAAACAAACACACCCAAAGTCAGCGACGCCCAGTCCGGCTCTGCAGGAGAGAGAGGGAGAGAGAGAGAGAGAGAGAGAAAGAATGGGAGGGAGGGAAGGAGGGAGAGGCGAGCGGGGAATGAAAGAGGGATGACGTAGGGAGAAAAAGCATGGGGGTGAAAGCAGGGGAAGTAGGTTTTGGCACAAAGAGAGAAGGGAGAGGAAATGAAATCGGGCAAAGCAGTGCAGGAGGATGATAGAGAGAAAGGTGATGGAGATAGAAGAGAGATTAAAAAAAGGAGGGGTGAGAAAATCTTGTCATAAAAAAGCGCTCCAACAAAGAGAACACCAGCTCAAGGTTCAGGCTATAAATACTGAAAGTGCTGATGCTGGCACTGTTAAGAGGTAATAGGAGCAAAGTAAATGAAGCAAATATTACAAGGGACTCTGGTAGAGTGTGTCCCCGCTCGTAAAGGAGAGCAGGGCGGCAGAATGTGATTTTGGGGAAATCCTATTTAGCCTACTGACAGGAAACAGACCGCCTGAGATCTGATCAGAACTCAGCAGAAGTAGTTATCAGGTTAGTTACATCACAAATGCGCACGCATGCATGCAAATACACACACTCACATTTATACGCTCATGCAATATGTTATACTTTTAAAATGAGACGAGAAAAACAGAAAAGTGCAAACACACACACACACACACACACACACACACACACACACACACACACACACACACATCCTGGCATGCATGCACACACACACACACACACACACACCTGCGCACCATCTCTAAACAGACCGTATGCTGTTTATTGCCAACACGAGCACGTGACTAAACACACGGTTTGGCTACAGCGCTAGGAAAACCAACAGCAGACAGACAGAATGCGCAAAAAAAAAGAAGAAAAATAGACAAGTTTTTTTTCTCTGCAGCGTGATTCAGTAGCAGCATCCGTGGGTGTTCAGCAAAGGTACATTTGAGTCACTGTATCACACTTTGATTCTGTCCATGCAAATGACGTTGTCAAAGTCAGAGACGCAGTGTGTCAGAGACATAGACAGAGTGTAGTGAGAACAGAGGGTCAGAAAATGAGGGAGCGAGAGATGAAGCTGTAGACTGGAGTTTTGCACTGATGGCAGAAATAATCTGATTGGTGGAAAAGTTCAGTGGGTAAATAAAAAGAAAACATAACACACAACAGAGCGCAAGTTGGCTCACCGGTAATGATAAATGACAAACAATCCTGGTCAAGATGGAGTGCTGAAATAATGAGTCCATTAATAGATCAGACAATCAAGAGAAAATGAATTGTTTGTGTTATATATAAAGGAAATAAAAGTAAAACAATGTTCCAGTTCCTTAAGTATGAGTCATTTGTGTTTGTCTGTGTTTTATATACTGTAACTAAAACTGACATAAAATGTCATATCGATGGCTTTTGGATGTCACCCTGTTGCACTCCATTCTGTGACACTTCATAGATCAATTATTTGGTCAATCAAACAAATAATTAAACGGTTTAATCAATCACATGCAACCTGATTCAGTGAATAGTGTTTTTTTTCTTGTTCATAATATGGCATTAATAATCATCGTAATGTAAACTCCCCTAATGGACAAAACGTCAACATCAGCATGACATAAGGCTAAAAACTGCTGCTATTACGTCATACACAAATATGGATTACACAATAATTTTTCCTTCTGTGACTAATGTTTATTTTCACTGTCAGTTCAGTTTCTGACTGAACAAATAATTTGTGGAATTTTTTGAAAAATGGCTACCACAATTGACCACAGTCCTAGAACACTGAATGATATAATCATTAAGTAAGTATGCCTATTGACTCATACAAAAATTGGAACAATACAGTGATACAACAGTGTATCATGTTAAGCCCTGCATAACAGCCTACTAATATAATATTTAGAATTATATTAAATAAATATATATTATTTAGAATATGTAGAGTGTAGTAACTTACAATGGGCTGAAAATACTTAAAATACCAGATTCTAGCATGTAATTTCTAACACCACTAAATACTTAGTATTTTAGTATTTTAGTTACTATAGTAACATATAATTTTGCTGTTACCTTGTGGAATATCCAACATTATCATATAAGGTATAAATGAATCATATATAATAATAACATATGTTATTAGCTATTCAGCAGTGAGTTTATGATATTTTTGTGCCCAGTCACAGGTTCTGCTGCTGAAGCAGCCAAAGCTGGACAGAGCCAGCTGAATATTCATAAACACCCACCCCAGGATCCCCACAGCCAGCCCGGTGTTACTGGCCTTCACTACCAGCTTACCACTGAGGAACAAGACGCCATGCAAGGCAATAATCCTCTCAGTAATCTACCAAACGGCAACACTTGGGTACCAAGGAGAGCACACGCCACGGGTCTGGCTAGATTAATAAACCAGATTCTACCCAGTAAAACCAGCAACAAAAAGCGTCATCCTCACTGTCAACAATTAGACCACACTATGAATAAAATCAGCAGCGTCGTCGGCTTATCCCTCACACTAAGATTAGCAGAACCGTTTACAGCCACAAATCCTCTGTCCCTCTCACAAACACAGTATATTTATTTTGCTCACCTAGCTGTGTGTGTTTCTCAAGGATGCCTGCTGGTTCAACTCCAAGATAATGAATTATGCAATTAAATTCAGACAACAAACTAAATACAATTAATGTCCTGTTGTAGATGTCCATCTGTCTCTGTTTTGTGCTGGCAAACCTGAATCCAGGACAAGATTCACTCAAAAATCTCTGCCTTCAATTAATAGCCCGGGCTTTTATGTGCTTCAGTAACTGAAGTCAACCTGCCAATATTTGGAACAGGCGTCTATGGGACAGGCCTTTAATTCCTTTTGTACAAATCTCTTGCTTATCAAAGATGGGAAATACCAAATACCAAATTGTTTATTTAATGATGTGTAGCATGTCCATATTGACAAAAGTTTAAACATGTATATTTGTGTAGGCGATCTAAGCAGCTTAAACTTGCTATCTAAACAAATATTGGATGAATTGTCATGACATTTGGCACACAATTTCATGTTCCCTATCATGCTAAAATGCTAAAGTAAGATGGTTAACATAGTAAACAATATATCTGCTAAAAATATGGATGTTAGCTTTTAGCTCAAAGCACAACTATATATAGCCTCATAGCTGCTAGAATCACTATAGCCCTGTTGCTAAATATATCACAAACGATTAATGATTAATAATTGATTAGTTTTCTGTTGATTGACTTATCAAATAATCTTCTCTTCTTTAGCTTTTTGGTTCATAATCATGGCATTTCATTCATAAAAACCTTATCAATACTGGCCTATCCTGGTATTAACATTTGATTGATAAGCAGCTAATATAAACATTGTTGATAAGGATCCCTTTAAAGCTGCAGTAGGTAACCTTTATGGTAATAACTTTTTGTCATACTTGATACAATTTTCTACCGTACCCGACAGAAAACAGCCAATCAGAGCAGAGAAAGCTAGAAAAGACTCTTTGGGTTGGAGGCTTTAGATTTTTTTATTTTTAGTCTTTAGTTTTTAGTCTCAGTCCCACTGTTGGTAAGTGACTCCCTCGTAATGAGACTTAAAAATCAACTACCTTTCTCGGTTCTGATTAGTCGTTTTCGTTCAGGCCCAATAGATTTTTGCAAATTCCGTCATGAGCACAAGGAGGAGTCAGAGGAACCTTATTTTTTTCAGATCATCTGTCCCTGTACTACTGTCACAAAAAAGTGACAAAAAATATTTTCATAAAAGTAACCCACTGCAGCTTTAATGATTCATTTAAGAGTTGTGACAAGGATGTGCACATTTACAGCTGAGAATTAAACTATGAACTGCTAAAATCAGCCTATAACAACCAATGTATCAGTCACGCTCTATCCATGATGTTGTAATATGTGTATGTGTATGTTGTACACTGTATTTGCACACGTGTTAACATGCAGAGTGTATGCATGGTCACAAGCGGCAGAGAGTACCATGTCCTCAACGGGTAACATGCAAAAGCCACTCCATTCTCACTCTCTCTTCAACTGCCATTTCTCACACAAGGAGGCCCTAGCAGCGTGGTGCACCGCGACCATGTGAACACACACACATGCATGCACAGTGAGAGGGAGTAGCACTCAAGGGAATCATTAGAGAGCTAACAGAGGGAGAGAAAGGGCTCAAAAAAAAAATAACATTCTTGCATTTCTCTGTCCTCTTGAGGCTGGAGAAAGCATAGATGGAGATACCACAGAGCCTGACGGGGGAGCAGCAGGGGAGAGGAGAGGGTCAGGAATGAGGAGGTGATGGAGGTAGGGGGGATGCGGTAGGAAGGGAAGGGAGGAAGAGTGTGGGTTCCTTATGATGCAGAGAAATGATGTGAGCTCACAAGATCCCCTGAGGGCATCGCTGCCATCAACGATAATCTTCCTTCGATTGATCTCTTTTAACCCATGACAAGAAGGCAATATTTGTATAAATGTCAACTCATCTTTTAATCCCTCTGGATCATGATCAAGCTCAAAGCGCTCCAAATGGCGCTTTCATGTGAAGAAATCAAACCTTGTGCTTTTTTCATCCATTACATGTCCTTGTTTTTTTTTGACAGCAATACACGCGGGCAAATACACACCTACGCACAACCCTGCTGACACAAAAACACACAACCAGCCATTCAGCGGTGAGGTCATCGCTGTCTGAGTCAGGCCTTACAGAGAAGCAGACAGCACTCATGGAGATTACTGTGGCCGCATGACTAACTAACCACACACACACACACACACACACACACACACACACAAGGACACACAGGCACAGGGCTTCCTCCTGTACATGCACACAGAAGATGTTTCTCAACAGGATTACTGTGAACAACAGATGCACGGTCGTAGTGAGCGGGAGGTGGAGAACTCCCGATGTAGTGTGACTCTGTGACAGAGGCTGTTTGAGGCGTGTTTGTTAAAGAGCTGCTGCGCCTTGGGCTCGGTCTCGGAGGAATTGTTGAGAGAGAAGTCAGGGAGCTACACGGCTCGTTTGGTTAAGAGACAACAGAGCTTTTGATTTGACCGCGCAAGGTTGAAGAAAGAAGCGCCTGTAGCGTCACTGCAGGGCAGATGCAGGATAAATGAACGAGGGGGGTGGCATTTACACAATGGCAGCCCCTGTGCCTGCAGCATTGGCAGGCACTTTTCTGCATCTGCAGCAGTTTATTCGTATGTCTGGACGTATGTACACACCAGTCTGTCAGTGGCTGCGTGATGGTGGGGGTTAATGAAGAGACGGCGGGTCCAGCTGAGGTTGTGACCCTCTCATGTCTCGGCTAAACCCCTCTGGCACGGGCAGAGTGTTTTATTTCCACAGCGGTTACAGTCTTAGATTTGACTTCAGTTTTACTCTAAAAAATGTCAAAAATGTCCATGGCTTGTATAAGAAAATCATCAAGGTTTTCCTCAACATTTCACTTGAATCTGTGGAATTGGGTCTGTGTATTAGGGATGTAAGAAAATACTTTCTACTTGTTTTGTTTATTGTATGAATTCTCAAAAACACTGTATGGATTTTTTGTGTTTAAACCCCCAACAGCTAGATAGCAGTGCTGTAAACATAAACTGAGGGCTATGATGCTGGATGTTACAGGGTAATGCAGATCCCACTGTTCTGATTCCATAAAAATGTCTTTTAACTCAGACTGTATGCATATGGTGGTGTGTTTTTTACACTATGACAGTTTTCCTTAAGTTAGATATTTAAAAAATTGCAATATATGGCCTTGCTAACAGTATCGCAATATATGGCAATATACTGAATAGAACCCCTGTATCGTGATATGTATCGTATCGCCAGATTCTTGCCAATTGTAGCTGCAATTTGAGTTTTATTACCTTCCACCATGGAGAGAGGCAGGTAATCATTTTGGGGTATTTTTGGGTTTCCTAAATGATTCCCTGTGTGCTAGTGACGTGTGTCCATGCTTTCCTCCTGATTCCTATCCACACACCTGCAATATATCTGTGTTATGACTGTGTCTTGTATTTCCCCCTACACCCTGACACAGACTCTTCCAAGAAGTGTGGTGGTGTCAGCTGCTCGGCTCCCGGCTGACAGGTGTCACTGCAACCTCCCATCCCTCGGTAGTAGAAGGCAGAGGTATTATCGTTAAAGGTGTAACAGGCTGTTATTCCCAAGTAAGTATCTCCCAAAAAAGCTGTAAGCAAAGGGAAGACACCTGTAGCATAATGCTAATTCTTGCAGACGCTAGTTCAGTGAAAGGAATAACAGAAGTCCCCAGAAGTCACAAGGTATCATGGGGATAGGGTTAAAGCGGATAGTAATGGTGTGAAATGCTAGCTTTGAGCATAAAGTGTGTCTATTCACTGCATGGGGAGGGCACACAGGTCGAAAGGTCGAAAAACCTATGCCTACAAATGTAAGTTGACATTGATTATTTCTCATTAAACTACAAATAAAAGATCTGTGCAAAGGCAGGGCTTTCAGAATAAAAGCCCACTGCTTTAAGGCTAAGGTTATATCTCACACCAGTTTGAATGAAGAAAAGTTTTCTCTCAAACTTGCCCTTAAAAGACATTGAGAAATAGTCTGGAAAGTCATAAGCAGGCTGCCATAGGAGCCTGGACCTCCCTCCTATGTCATCATAGCTCCTGCTGCTTTTGCTGTTCAACAAACACCTTCCTCGCACCTCAGAGGACTGCTGAGGCTTCTCTCTGGAGGAAATAACTCATTTGTGCGTCCTTAGCGAAGGGCAGAACCGCAGCGCTGCTGAGCTACAGAGAAACCCTGCCTCTCACCGGTCTCATCTGAGCACACCAGCGGAGAAAAAAGATAGGGAGAAAAAAGGCAAAGGTATGGAAGGGCAGGGTAAGAATGACTAAGCACAAAAAATGCACAGGCGGTGTTGCCAATTTGTGTGTTCTCAGACCAATTAGAGCAGGCTTTATGTCTGCTTAGTGGATGTTGTATCTGTGATGGGAAGATAAGGCAGGAGTGAGGGAGGACAGCCAGGACACTGTTGATGGTGTGATAGTGTGTCTTTACTCTGTCAGACTGCAGATTCGCATACATTGGAGGGGTTTCATGTGATGTAACGCGGCAGCCGTATTGGAGGTCCTCAGCTTATAGTTGTTAAAAGCTGCAAAACACCTAAAAACATCGATTAGTGTTCGCTTTATTTATTTCACCACTTTACCTCGCTGTCAGGCAGCCGTTTCCAAAGGAGAAAATGGCTCCATTATATGGCTCTCTAAATCCACCCGACACAAAAACAGTAATTTTACCTCGCAGAGCATGGAAGCTGCTGGTCTACAAACTGCTGCTTTCGATTTAGTTCGGACCCAAATGAATGTGTTAAAACACCAAAGTCACACATCGTGCCATCACAATCGGGGCAGTGATCGACGAGTGACTCCTGTGTTTTGCGAGGTAAAATGACTGTTTTTGTCAAAGGAGTCTGGTGGCTCTGAAGGGAGCACAGTCGATCGATATTAACGCTAGGTAAACACTACTCCTACAGAACTACACTCCATAAACTGATATTGATTCTTTTTTTAGGTGGGCCTTTTTAGGTGGCTATGTTTTGTTGTTGCGTCCACCCTTAGCAGCGCATTGCCTGGCTTCTGTGCTGGTACTCCTGTATGCTTCTCCAAACTAGGTGCGTGCCGACTGCCGTCTAACAGTAGGCAATACACTGACTACAGATAAGTATCTCACACAACACCACTTTCAAAAAAACAGAACTATCCCTTTAAGTCCTCATAAGCAACCTTTGCTCACGCCCACTCCAGTACAATATATGTTTGTGTGTTTACTTTTCTGAGATGATTTGTGGTATTTTGAGCTGTAATGAAACTATGATGTTTTCCTGAAAAAGCCACTGAGATAGGATCCTGTCCCCATCTGGGAAGGAGCCGCCGAACCAGCATCAATAATTCATATCTTGACCATTATGAGATATGAATTATGAGCCTGGGAATGCCTGATCTGGTAGCAGAGGAGGGGAAGAAAGATAACGGCTCGGTTGATGGATGGCTATCCTAACACTCTTCATCTGTGCAGTCAGCTCTCCCGAAACGAGCCCGGTGTTCGAATGCAAATACGGGAGAAAGCAGCCACTGGATTCGGCCGAACTTACACGGCTGTTGACCACTAAGCTGCCTTCACTAGCAGTTGTGTTTAAAGTGCCTTGTTCTCGGCAATCTCAGCACTTGTTGAGGGTTAAGAGAGCCGACATGAGTCACTTCACCAGCTGAGATTTCCCTAGCTGTGATCAATCAGTCGCCCTGCAATTACCAGCTTCTCTGACTGTTCGGCAACTGCTGCACAACACAGAACATCTGTCTCACCTTTGCAGCACCAAGGCTAAATTTTGATTATGTAATGATGGCAAAGGTGAAATCTGCCAAGCAACAGTGATGAGCAATCTCAGGAGGGCAACAATCACAGCCATTGTTTCCTCCACGCACCGTAGATCACTGCACAACAGTTTAGGGAAAATGTATTCCGAAGGTCAAAGAAGGCTATGTGGGTAGCGGTAATTGGGCAAAATAATTTTCCCAAAACAAAGACTAAGAGTCTGCAGCCGGCTCTGTGAGGCTGTACTTAAGGCGCAGAGGTGGCTAATTAGCACTTAACACCAAGCAGAGCTGAGGCTGATGGGAATGTGATTAGTGGTGCAGGTCATAAATCAAAGTATTGGACAAGTTCAAACTTTGACCTGATGATGCCGCAAGAAGAAAAGGTATAGGAAGTTTGTGTCAATTCATGTTGGAACCATGAATGTCTTTTCATGGCAGCCCATCCAGCTGTTGACCAACTGACTGAATGACTAATACTGGCAACGCTAAAATATCAGCATGTAAAACCATGTTTTAGACCAGAACAGTTTATGTAAAAGCTTTTAGAAACTAGCTATAGGCTGAACAGCGTTATGTAAGTTGTGGTGCTGAGGAGCAAAAGGCCACATAAAAATTTCAGATACTTTAAAACTCGACACACGACCACACAGAGAGCCATTTACTTATTTCTCACCAAGATAACACCCTCTGGGTCAAAATGAAATCCCTCCTCAAGTGTCCGCCGCTCAAACAAAGCTATTGAAATATTTTTTTGCGAGGGCGCCTCTGGCTCCAAAAGCTGCTCCACTAACAGCCAGTCCTCAGAGGAGCCGCGGCCAGGGCCAAGGAACAGGCATCCTGGGCGGGCTCGGCTCCAAACACTGGGCGTACGGCCCGTACTGGAGCCTCTGTGGCCACTCACTGGTTTATTGCCATTTTCAGTAAGAAGAAAGGAAGGGAGGGTGTGGAGGAGGGACAGAGGGGGGGGGGAATTAAAGGGAAGAATGCATGGAGAGAGGATGGAGGGATGAAGAAAAGGAATGAGGCTGCTTAATAGAGAAATGAGTGTCCTGTAAATGAAAAACAAACATGTAAAACAGAAATACACACACTGGTAATTACTGAGCGAGCTGTGTGGAGGATGCTGACAGTGTAGAACATGATGATGACACCACAACACACACACACACACACACACACACACACACACACACACACACACACACACACAGTAACAACAGTAATAGCTGGGGAGGGATAGTTGACAAGTCTTTGTACACCCTCACACACTGTGACAACCACACACAGTGGTTTATGTGTTTATGGCTCAGACTAAGTCCAGAGTCCATGCCTCTCAGGCCTTATTATACCTGCAGAAGAGGCTGTCTTCAGGTCCATGTGTCCTGCCAGGCCTTTGTCAGTATATCTGGACCACATTCACTCCTTTGGTTTTGAAGCACCAGTGGGCTCGGTTCCCCACCTTGCATGCACCGGCTGCATAAAGTCTGTGGTCTCTGTGTGTGTGTGTGTGTGTGTGTGTGTGTGTGTGTGTGTGTGTGTGGGTTGGAAGGTTTTGCTTACCTGGATTGCCGCAGTCCGCGCACGTTTCGTTGCCCGGTCTCGCCAGCACGTCTTGCAGGAGCCGGTTGTTCCCCTCCGGTTCCAGCGCCATGGTGAGTTCTATCCGTCCAGCCTCACCGCGGTGGGAAGAAACCTGGCCAAGAACATCCGCTGCTGGAGTCCGACAGACAGACAGAGACACAGACAGACAGACAGACAGACAGAGAGACAGACTGCCCGATCACCTGTCACCTCCGATCTGAAGTGGAGGAGAAAGACTGGACGAGACTGAACGATCCGAGCCGATGCTGGAGGAAATTCTCTCTCTCTCTCTCTCTCTCTCTCTCTCTCTCTCTCTCTCTCTCTCTCACTGATAGCTCTATTACTGAGTCTCACTCACTGCATAATAATCAAGCCTATATGTTACCATCACCTCCTCCTCCTCCTCTGCCCTCCCTCCCTCCCCCCTCACACAGCCTGCCCGTCTCTTTCCTCTCTCCCCTCCATCCACTCTTATATCTTATGGAAGTGAGACATCCAGTGGCGGACTATCAGAACGCGTTTAATAGAAATGAATAAAAAGAAATCTACAACTCTTTGAAAAGTCAGCCATCATCTCTAACAACACGGTGTTCCAGCATTCTCAGAATAAAACTGTACAAATATAAACAATGAAACAACTGGAGACTAACACACAGGAGGGGAACTATATGAGAGGTTTATATAAATAAAATCAAATAATAAAATAAAAATAAACAACCAGCATCTTCATAATATTATATTCCTAAAGTATGATGATATTATATTCATTATTATAGTATGGTGTTATATAGGCTAGTATTATTATAGTATTTAAATGTGTCATATATTGTGGAGGATTTACTTTATAGGTTTCAGTTTTATTTATTTTGCACAGTTTAAAACAATAGATAACAAATGGTATACAGTGCAGGCAGAGGCAGGTAGCCTCCACATAAAGTTACAGTTTTACTGTTTAAAAACACAGAATACAGGAAACAGTGGGCCTGTGACTATATTAAAAGTGACGGTAAACTAATAATGAGACAAAATATATAACAACAGTAATAGTAATTGCATTCATTGTAATAATAATATCAATAATCGACATACATACATATCGATGTAAGTATAGTTTATTATAGAATGATCGTTTTTTAATCTTTGTCATTAGCTATTATCCACAGGTTTATACTCTTATAATTTATTATGTTATTAGTTTATAAGGATAAGAAATAAGACTTATAACTATATACATGTATGTGTATAATATGTGTATTATTTTGTCCTTTTTTCACTAGCTTACTTTATTAAGTGCATTTAATGCTAAGCTTTTTTTTTTTTAAACTAAACTAATTTTAATAACTTAAAAAATTATAATAATAATACCCGATTTATATGTTTCAAATAATTTTGATGGACATTTGTTGTTGATTTCTAAATTACTAACGTTAGGACTTAATCGAAAAAGTGAATCGATCACCGATGCGATTCAATCGACTACTAATGTCTGTCTGCTGAGGCGACTCGGATACAGTCGGACGTCACATTTAGGCGACAGCAGGGTGAAGGCTGCCGCCGGACGAAGCACTCACACTTTATTGAACAAGAAGACAAAATGTCTACCGCCATGAACTTCGGGTCGAAGAGTTTCAAACCTCGGGCTCCCGACAAGGGCTCGTTCCCTCTGGACCATTTCGGTAAGCTAACACACACACACACACACACACACACACACACACACTGACTGCAGGCCTCGGGTCAGCAGCTCATAAATACGTCTTTCTACTCTCTGTAGTTCTCTTTCTACTCTCTGTAGTTCTCAATGAAATCATTTTTGTTCCATTGTATTGAAGAAATATCTTTCCTTTAATTAGCTCATAGCTTATAGCTCGTTAACCCGCAGTTTGAGCCGCTCGGGTGTTAGCATTATAATGAAGTCAGTGTCTGTGGGAGAAAGATCCTCTTACAGGTTGTTTATTAGCACATAGCGGTGTTCTGGAGGAATGTACATATTCCTCAAAGGCTCCTCTTCCTCTCTGGATGGTAAAATATTCTGTACGAAGAAAACAAGATAAAGTTTAAACCCGTTTCTCAAAGTTACACTGCTAATCTAACCTAACGTGAATGTGGTAGGCGGAAATGACACGCTGCTTCATTTGTAGACGGTGAACCAAAATTCATTTTATTATTAATTCTATTTGTTTAGGTTGGTGTTATTTTATACTAATACATCAGAAAGTAAAGCTTCATTTATTCTAACACACAGTTACAAGGTGCTTCACAAACAAATAGATACATATATATACAGATGTACATACATAGACGCACACAGTATATACATGTAGGTATACATGCACAATCATACACATACATATTGATACGTATGAATACAAACATATGGGTGAATAAAACAAGAGGGAGAGAATATGTTAAAAAAGAGACACAACATAAACAAGTACATAAAGAAGGAGATCTATAAAAAGGCTTGCATATGGAGGTTAAACATTCTTCTTTCTTACACAATACGTACAGCCCAAGTTGGCTCTTAGTCTGCTAATAATAAAACCAATAATAGTACATCACAAAGTGTATACACGGGGAATCATTAAGTGTTACAATAGCAACAAATACATTGAACTTCTTCACATGCTGATACATATATGAGCACATGACTGGAAGCTTGGTGCTGAATGTGTTTGTTATTGTTGTTGTTATTTCAGGAGAGTGTAAAGCCTTCAAGGAGCAGTTTATGAAGTGCCTGAGAGACAACAGCTTCGACAACTCCATGTGCCGACTGCAGTCTAAGGAATACCTGGAATGTCGTATGGACCAGTAAGAAACTTGATTAAAAGTACAGCCTAGACGTAATCCTAATCCTTATAGCGGAAGCCGTTATTATCTTAAAATAATATGATAAATTAACTTGTGATCTCGAGATAATGCCGTTAAGAAAATAACTGCAAGCACGGCCGCTCTGGGCTTCCATACGTTATATACGGTGACTGTGGTTGTGCTTTAGAACAAGAACTGTCAGCAGTTTTATCCGAGCTCAATCCTTTGTTATCTTGTGTTCTCCAGTCAGCTGATGACCAAAGAGCCTCTGGAGAAACTGGGCTTCAAGGACCTGATGGATCCTCCTCCCAGCCAAGCAAACAGAGACACTAAACCCTGACCCGCTGATGCCACCACAGCGGCTGTTTCAGAAATGCAAGGGTGGTGTTTTGCTGTGAACTCAACGCATCGAGCCGTTTACCATTGATAAGGTGACAACACGAGAAGGAATGGCTTCAAAGACTTTAAGACTGAGAGAAGAGGACATTGTGGTTTGCATTGTGGTCTTAGTTTGAGGTTACAGGGCTCCAAAATAATTGTATCAGTCAGTGTATATAAGATAAAATGTATAATATATAAAGATGCTATTTTGGCATGTCAATAAATATTTTGTATTTAAACTAACTGTGTGTGAAGATTGACTCTAGCTTTATTCTTCTCAGCTGCCGGAAGCTTGACACTAAACATACACTTGTTTGTCTTATTTTGAAGGTTGCTCAAGCTCCTGAGGAACAGTGACTTAAAATAGGTTGTTTCTTTTTCTCTATTAGTGATGGTGATGGTGACGGGAGGACCAAAGTGTTTTTTCAAAGCATATGAAGCAAAATTGCAACATCTGCTGGACAGTTGTTGTATTGCATTTAAATGGATGGATTCAATCCACGATTAAACACTTTGTAGGAATACATGTATTCCATTTTGTGTTCATTTAAAAAAAAACCAATGTTCTAGTTCTTTCTCCATGTGTTAACTATTGATTTATCTCCTCAGGGCCTTCTTGAATATAAGAGGTGTAAGAAAACCTAAAAAAAACAAAAACACCAATATGTCAGCATTTCAATCATATCTGTGAGAAAACTAAATGAAATTGTTATTTACAAAATTAACCACCACACTGGGATTTTAAAGTTTAAGTTTAAGATCTAAACTTGGAAGCTACATTCACAGAGCCTTCACTCTCTGATAAACGGCCTCATCCTGCATTAGAAAAGAACAAAAAGTAACACCCAAAGAGCTAATAGAACAATTAGAAGGAAACACCACATTTTTAATAATGAATAATTGTTAAAATATTCCTCCTAAATACAGACTGTAATCAGTAAAATGAATCTCTGATCAATATTCACAGGAAATAATCTGCTCAAAATTCATCAAAAACACTTTTTTACACAAACTCCCTACAGTTATTGTCTTCACTGTACAGTTTCAAGTACATATACATTGATACATCAGTATCAATGTTCTCTCCTGTTCTTATGAATTGAATATAATATCTATAAAATATGTCACTCAGTCAGGGGTGGTCAGTTGACTCAGTGACAGAAAGAAAGGAAAAGGGTTGGGAACCAGTGGTGTAATGCATGTGAGATACAACGAAGGCATACGTCACCCAGTGCGACAGTGTGAGTCCTCCACTTGTGTACTCTAAATCATTTCTGAACAACAATGAAGATTTTGGTCTTTTCATGGGAATTACTCATAAGAGAAATATAGACTATCACCACACTTTAAATTGCAGTGAAAACGTTAAATGTGCTGCTAACACTGAGGTCCAAACATTTATTTGTTAAATATTAAGGCTGTGATTTTTCTTTCACACATTGTCAAGGTCTGTATACATATATACTGTATGTATGTACTAATGGCACCAAGACTGCACATATTAGACTCAAAAGTATTATATTAGTTACAGAGTCCAACAAAGACATACTGCAGCTAATATTCCGATACGTATTAATTAAATAGACAATTAATGTTAATTAAGAAACTTAAAGGAAAATAAAGGGAAGATTTCTGCTTTGGAAGTCGTGATGCATCATTTTCATTTTGGCCGACCTTTCACAAGTGGGAGCAACATATCTGACTCTGTGTAGAGAAAAACACATTAGGTTCATTAGTGGATAATTAAGAAGGAATTCACATTTAGCGTCGCAACTGTACATCACTTTGGGTTTTGTTATCACAGGAATATGGAATATAGGAGTAAAATAAAATCTTTGAAAAAACAACAAAAATCATGAATGGAATTTGGTCATGACTGTGAGATTTCTACCTGAAAGTGTGTCTTCCAAACTTACTTTTTCTAACACTTTGAATGTTCTCCTGAGCCATCTGGCTGCTGGGTCCACACACTGGTGTGTTATGTTCTCGGTAGAGAAGCTGTAGAGTTGCAAAGGCAAAAAAGGGACATTAAGATGTTTCTTGAAAAAATAATAATGGTGAAAAATCATGTGTACACTGTAGTGTAGTAGTTTCTCCTACACACTTCACAACCTGTTTTCATTCCCAGGTCGTCAGATACAGACGCCAGCAGTGTTCACTTAGTTGCAATCTGTAACTTCACCACTAGATGCCACTAAATCCTACACACAGGTACTTTAAAGGACAGTTTTACTCAAAAATCATACAGCGTATGCCCAGCTTAAACCAGAACAGTAAAGTTACGGGCCATAAAACCAAAACAATAAGCTGAAAGACGCTATAAAGCTATAAATTATAGTTTTGTATTTTTCATTAGTTTTTATTTCATTTTTGATTTTTGTTTTGAATTCAGTTTAGTTTAAGTTAGTTTCCAGAGGGTTTGCTCATTTCAGTTTAGTTTTTATTGTTTAAAAATGTTTAGTTTTCATTAGGTTGAGTATTAATTTGTGTTTTTAAATTTTAGAATAGGTATTACAATACAAACACACTGACTAACAGTCGTGTAGACATCCCAGTCTCAATACGTTTGTTGTGTTGACAAATATGACCAAATTGACGAAGACTAAAACTAAAGACATTTCCTGTGTATTCTATTTTAGTTGAAGCGGTTGCCTCTCGGGGACAGTTGAGGTCACTGTAAGCAGTTTGAATAACAGTCGCTGCCTTTTCTCTGGAGAGGACAGAATTAGTGCCAGATATCTGTCCTTCACATTAACGCTGGTTTGTCTGCTTGTGATTAGCTTCGCATGAGACTTTTTCTGACACACCCCACCCAAACACAGACAGAAAACAACAGTGTAAGAGTTAATACTTTTCCTTACATGAATGCCCGTATTCTACAATGAGGAAATGTGGTTTCTCTCTGTTCAAAGCAGGAAACAATGGGTTCTCTGACGCGGGCCTTTGAGGCTTTCATACAGCAGGGGGGAATGACAGGTCCTGGACTCCTGCCCATAGGCCTGTAGCACTGAGGACACCCTACAATGCAGCACAAACACACAGAATAACATTAGTAACAGTAGTAAGACTGCTGGGGGAAAATATCCCTCATCCAGCCAGAAACTTTTTGATTTAGTGGATGAGAGGTTTTCTAAACACAAATCTGGAAAGTGACTGATTGATATTCTGTTCCTTTTGACTGTGGGTCTATCCTCAGTTGCACAGTGTGTGCCAAGCACAGACTGAACAACAGGAGGAACAGCTGTGATGAATAACCTTAAAGTCATTTTTCATGATATGCTTGCATTCCAGTCTACCCCCATTACACCCCACCAATACAAATTTGACCATTGGACCCTCTCCATTAACATTCAATACAAGTAATTACATTTAAAATTAAAATTAAATTCAGTCTGTGCCTTGCTATTTCACTCTCAGTTCACTGTTATCAGCTGTCCTTAAAAGACTCCAGTAGTGAAAGCCACACTCACCTTGTTCAGGGAGGATCAGCAGTAAATACACGAGACACACTCCAAACCTGGAGGAGAGAGGCATCCTGGGTCGAGGTACGATAATGAGCCGGATTCTGGAGGGTCACTGAACAAACTTTTGTTGAATCAGGTACAGAATATGAAGACGGTTGTAAAGCCGGAGTGTTTGCTGTAGAGGGAATGCGTGCTCTGGGAGATGATCTGCAGGGCGCCACTGCACAGCTGCAGAGTGTAATGGCCAAAACATCTGCATTGGCTGTTGTTCAGACTTGAGCATAACCAATCTGCGCTCCACCCCCCAAATTCCAAACAAGAAATATAAGTTAGACCAGACCACAGGGTGTTCTTATTTACAGTTGATTTATAAGCTAATGAATACATACCTATGGATATTATATTCCATTCCTGCCAGTAGATCCTCCTAAATGTAACATGCTTGACCCTGACCACCAAAGTAATAATCATTGATCCTGTGGGGGACATGGCTGTGTGTGAAATTTTGCTGAAAACCATAAATGTGAATCTCATGGTGGCTCGAAAGGAAAAGTCTGGGGATCACCAAAGTCATTCATCCTCTGGGGACCATCAGTGTCCGTACAAGATTTGAACAATTCCCACGATTGTTGCACCGTCTACCAAAGCGGTGGAGCGACAACACCATATCTAAAAGTGGGAAGTAAGCCAGTACAGTATTACTGTAGTTTTTCACTTTACATGAGTATTTATTTTATTTGAGTGTAACTTTTACTATCTACATTTACAATATCTGTACTTCCTGTACTCCTTACATTTTCTTTTTTTATGATTAACAGTTTATTGGTTTTTCAGAAAATGTAAACATACAAACATATCCATCAGAAAAATGAAGCAAGTACACATACAACAAAATAGAATGAAAGGAAGACATAGCGCAAACCATAGACAGAAACTAAACTAAAAATACATTTTATAAAATAAAAAAGAAAGACAGTGATGCACAGAGTACTTGAGTTTACAACCTTGCCTATATGTAGGTACAGTATTCTATCAAAATGTATCCCTCAGTCATGTTTTCTAGTTAAATGCTATGTTTTATGAGCCGGAACGCCATTAAATGTCCAAAGTGTACGTACTCCTTACATTTTCAAAACAGGCTCAATACTTTAGTTTTAATACAGAATCAGAAATACTTTATTGATCCCCGAGGGGGAAATGTGTTAATACATTTGAATCAGCTCTTCTACTTTTACCAGGATCTTTTTTCTTCTACTTGAGTAAAGAATGCATGTACTTTACCACCTCTACTGCTATAAAAAGCAAATGTAGACGTTGTAAAAATGATGTAACGTGGTAATTTCATGGACTGGCTGTCTCTCAACATGTCCACACAAATAACTATGCAACAAGCATGTCTGTGACTGACCACAGGATGGAAGACGTATGACTTTAAGGATCTTGTTTGGTGAAATTTTCAACATCATCATCATCATGGAGAACTCTTTATTTACCAGTGAAAACATTTAAAATATAAAAAAACAGTTTTACGTCTAGATGTTTTACAGATTTCCAAGGAAACGAATTGGTATAAAATGTACATACATTATATCATTGACCAACAGCACCAAGACATCAACGGTCAAAACCGTATTAGTTTGGAAGACAATAAAGATACTTACAAAGACATTATTAACATATCTAAATGTATACAAAGACAGAACATTTTTAATTTTATTAAAATAATTACAAAAAAGGAAGGTGTTAAGATTTCTGCGTAGGTGCATCATCGTTGTTGTGATAGTCGAAGGTCCGTCACAATGTGCAGCAAAATATTCCTCTCTGTGGGAGAAAAGGTTCCATATTATACAGACTCAAATCCCCCCCCCATTAATGCTGCATCTGATTTGACGGCTAAACCTGGAACATCTACTGGGACAAAATACAAAAAACTCCACCGCACAATGTGTTCTGGCATAATCATCTTTAAGAGTATTTGCTATCTAGAGACAGACAAATGAGAGAAATAGAAATGAAGGGGTTAAAAATATGATAATGACTTACTCTCTGTAATCTCTGGAGTCTGCCTGGGAGCCACGAGGATGTTGGATCCACACACCAGGCTTTATGCGCTTTGGTAAATCTGCAGGGATGAAATGACAGGTAAGAGACAGAAAAAAGAACAAAAAACATGAATGGCCGATTTTCAATATGATCAATGTGCAAAACATCTGCAGTGACACAATGGCCAATTTGGATCCACAAAGTCTCCAAAACTACATCTCAGTAACATCATATGTTAGTGGATGATACAGATGTTTTGTCAAAAGATTTCAACATTTTGAGAAATACTTTTATTATTTTCTTGTTGAGAGTTAAATAAGAATATTGATACCACTCCCATGTCGGTACAGTAAATATGAAGCAACAGCCAGGCAGTGATGGGAATAACTGCGTTACTTTTTTCAGTAACGACAACGAACAACACAAGCGAGTCAGTCAATGAGAGACAGGTATGGTGAGTCCAGATAATCCAAAAGTAGCTTTCTCTAAATGGAAGTAATCCAAGAAATTAAAGGAACGAATGTAATTGTGAAATGCACATTATGCTATTATTATTATGTTAGATTGAAAGCACCTTATATTGTACAAGTTTTTTTTGTTTTATTTGCACTACAAAGAGTGTATATATTTGTTATTTATTTTTGGTATAGTGCTTAACAAGCATAATTTAATTTTGCCCAGTTGTGGCCTGTTGAGGGGCAATAAATATCAAAAGTTCCAAAACATCTATTGTGTTATTTGTATCGATCCACTATATAAACATAATATCTACATACATGGCATTTGATTGGAGGCTAGTCTCACTTTGTCCCACAGCAACATTAAAATAGTTTAGATTTGTGTACATTGTTTCTGTTAATAATGGATTGTATTAAGTGTCCATTTCATTATAATATTCAGATTTATCATAAATAATTGAACATGCACATGTATTTTAAGTTCTGTTAAAGAGGGGTGGAGGTGGGGTCACATTTGAGCATTTAAAAATTTACTTGAAAGCAACGCATTAGTTACTTTCTGAAGTAACTAGTTACTTTTATAATTTGTAACTGAGTAATTGAGTTACTTTTTTGGAAGAAGTAACTAGTAACTGTAACTAATTACTTTTTAAAAGTAACTTGCCCACACTGTTCTTACCTAACTCTCGGCAAGAAAGCAAATATGTGTGTGTGCACATGATCAGCTCTGTAGGGGACACTGTCTTAACTCACCACAACAAAAAAGACACTGAAGCAAAGTTTGCGTGAGTGACTTACATGTAAGCATGTATTTTACAATTAGAAAATGTGTTTTCATTCTGTATGTAGCAGGCGTTGACAGATTCCTTAATGGTGCCGTTTTGGGTTTCAAGACAACAGGGGAGGTTGACGTGTCCTGTTGTCCTTTGATGAGGCCTGTTACACTGAGTATCCACTGCAAAGAACACAGCAACACAGAATAATATTAGTATTATTATATTAGTGATTAGTGTAATATTGGTCAAATATGCAACTTATACAAGTGTGATGCAGAGTCTTTAAGACTGGGATTTTTAATGAGGTAAAAGGAGTAGATACCTTTTCATTAACTTTAATGTGGATATTATATTTTGAGGAAAAAAACACATCTGACAGACATTATTGTTCCTTGCAGACTATTTGAATGTGTTGTAATGTGAGAGAGAGAATCTTTAAGGGATTGTGCAAATCTCCGTAGGCTTTAAAGGGACCAAAACACCCATTGCTGCTGCATCAGCCAAAACACAGATAAACTGCATCAACAGAGGAACAGCAGTGATGCAACAATGTTGAAGTCTTTTCACTTTAATTGTTTGCATTGATACATAAGTTAACCTTCGAACACTTATTATTCTTACACTCACCTTGAGCAAAGAGGAGAAGAGGCATGGTTAAACACAGGAGAGTCAGTTCATAGCGAGCGGAGAAAGGCATCCTTGCTCCCAGCGTGGCAGTGTGCCTCTGTGCAGGCCTTGTTCTGGACACTCACTGCTCCAATGCTTTGTCAGTGAAGTAAACAGCGATGCTCTAACTTGCAAGAAGAAACGTCCTCGGTATAAATAAGGCCAACATGAAGGAACACGCCCCACCTCATTCGAGAGAAAGAGGAACACAGCTGTGTGGTTTACTCAATTATTTCCCCCAAATGGATGGAATATTGATATGTGGTGGTGACTTTAATATTGTGATGAATAGTAATCCGGACACAACAAACAAGAACAAAAGTACCAACCATGTTACTAAAGTGATTAAGAAAACATTTAAGGAATTTGGTATAGTTGATACTTGGAGGGAATTACACACACTACTCAGCCCCTAATGACAGCTATGCTAGAATTAACAATTTTTTTAGGAATAAAAATGAATTATTTAGAGTAAAGAAATGTGTATCGGTATCGGATCCCTGTGCAGTTTATCTCGAAGTTGAATTAAAATCGCAGGAGAAAAGTACGTGATAGAGGTTAAATGTAGGAATACTAAACAAATCAATAGTGGAAGAGATAAAAAAAAGACATTACAATCTAAGGAAAATGACAATGGAGAGGTTACTCCTGTGATTTTGTGGGATGCTCTTAAAGCAGTTATTAGAGGAAAACTTATTGGAAAGAGAGCAGCAATTAAAAATGTTAAAGAGGAAGCCTATAAAAAAGAAAAAGCTGTACTACACGAGACTCCCCACTGCTTCCAAGAATTAAAGAAATCAGGAATAATATAGATAAAATATGAACCACAGAAATTATGAAGTGGGGAGGCAACCAAATTATTGACAAAAAGATTTTAAAAAACAACAGGGTGACAGGACAATTAATAAGATATGGGATATAAATACAAATCAGATAATCATTGAACCAAAGGAGATTGAAACTAAATTAATGAACTGCTATGGGGACTTGTATAGCCAACCTCCATCTGCTGACACAGACCAAATGCAAGCTTTTCTTGAGAAACTAGACTTACCAGCAATTGGGAAACATCAGAACGACCATCTGACCGCACCCATTACAAAAGCAGAAATAGAGAAAGCAGTAAATGAACTTAAAATAAACAAATCTCCAAGCATCCAAGAAACACATACTCTTTCACACAATAGTCATGATTGACACAGTGTGAGGTAATTACAATTTTCATAGAGCCCCTGGCACAAGCAATCAGGCAGAATAAAGATCTTAAAGGGATAAAGGTTGGGAGAGAAGTACACACCATTGGGCTTTTTGCTGACGATGTGATCTGTTTCTTAGAGGACCCAGACATATGTATTCCCATATTAATCACCCAACTTGAGACATTTGGTTTCTGCTCCGGATACAAGCTGAATCTGACTAAAACGCAAGTCTTAACATTCAATTACTTTCCATCTAAAATCATACAACTAAAATATAATTTGAATTGGAGTGCAACAAAAATGAAATATCTTGAGGTCACCTTAATATATATCAAAGTAGATAAGGAAATTAGGAATGATATGGATGGGCTATCCTTCCATTAGACATTGGTTCTTGAATAGAGACCATACAAATGAATATTCTCCCTCGTATTCTCTACTTGTTTCAATCACTACCCATTGAGATACCTGAGAAACAATTTAGAATATGGGATAAAACCATTTCAAGGTTTATATGGACTGGTCATGGACCAAGAATCAAATTTGAAACATTACAGATTTAGAAAGATTTGGGAGGTATGGCGCTGCCAAACCTTAAGGAATATTTTCATGCAGCACCAATAAGACCTGTAATTTGCTGGTGTGATAAAGACTATGTAGCAAAATGGAAAAATTTAGAGCAATTTGTACAAGGAGGAAAAATTCAAAGTCTTATTGGGGACAGAGAAGAAACAATGTGTATGATTAAACAGGTGGATACTGTCATCCAATTTACATTAAAATTAAACTTAGTACAAAAATATAGACTGGAGAAAGAGCTTAGACTACTTCAATGGATAGCCAATGACAGGCATTTTATCCTTAGTGCTCTTGACCAGAGGTTTAAACACTGGATTACAAGTGGAATAACAGCAATATGTACAGTAATAAAAAAAATGGGGATTTTTTTATATATATATATATATATATATATATATATATATATACATATAATATAAATGCAATATATCACCAACTAGTGGAGAGAAGAGGGAATACAATTTCATATGTAAAACTGAAATGGGAAAGAGAGCTAGGTGTAAATATTTCTGAAGATGTTTGGTTGCATATTTGGAGAACACAACAGTCAACCACATCATCACGTACTTGGAGATTATTTTGAGTCTTTGCCACGCCCAGAATTAAGAACAAATACTTATCTGTACCACAGCCATGTTAGAGAAAATGTTTTGGCTTTGCCCTAAAATTATAAAATTTTGGGAAGATGTTTACCTGGTTATTAAATTTTCATGACCACGAAAAAGAAAAGGAAATTCCTCCTTAATAACACCAAGATCACAGATCACACATAAACACTGCTCTCCAAGGATACCTTTATATCTGCCTGCCTCAATTGCCAGTTATAAGGTTCTTAACTGAGCACACAGGGACCTCTGCACTCTCTGTAAATCAAATATTATATACGGTTCTGTTTAGTCATCTTCCTTGATTTGAACATTGTTTTTGAGCTTTGCTTCACACCAAAAATCCTCTTTCCATTGTTCCTTATGGATCCGTAGTATAGCTGTTGTTTATTCATATTTATATTACACTGCTACACAATAAATTGTATACACATACCAACATGTGTATCATTTAAATGCACAACAGCAACAAACTAGCAAAGGCTGTATTGTCAGAAAGCATTAACAGTATGCAGTCTTATATGCGCTTTAAAAGGATGCAAAATCCATTACAATACTGGTGCTAGTGTGGTAGTGTATGGTAAGAGTTTATATGTTTTCATATCAAGGAATATTGTGATGTCAATTATATATCCCACCTAAATGGAGTTTCCCTTTCAAACAGTAAACACACAGTTGAGTAAAAGAGACAGTTCAGGTATTGCGACAGTGGTGTGCTTAAATCTACTTAAAACTTAAACTTTTTTTAATGATTGACTAAATGAACATCATGCTGTATGGAATAAGACTAACTAGCAATTGAGACCATAAACCTATTGGGAAACTGTTTATTTGGCTAATAAATCAAGTGAGAGGTAACATCTTTTCCCCATAAGACTCAATTCAATTGGAATTTACAGCCTATGGAGCTGCAGGGGGCCATGAGAAAATAATGCACGTTTATGACACTTTTAGCGTCTTGTTCATGTTACTAAAATCATTGTTGCTAATGTTCCTAAGAGCCTTATTCTGGACACTCACTGGTCCAGCACTTCTGTCAGTGAAGTAAACTGTGTGTCCCCGACTTCCAAGAACAAATGTCCTTGAAAACAGGCGGGAACACACACCACCTTGTTCTAGAGAAAGAGGAACACAGCTGGGTTTTTGAGTGATTACTCAATTATTTCGCATTAATGATGAAAGAAAGCAGATAAATCCAGTAGGGAGGCTTCCTCAATTTAAAACTGCAGCCACATCGGGTTAAAAAAATATAAATAAATGCTACAAACTTGAAAGTATCTTTTGGTGAGAAAATGAATAATTTCCCAAAATAAAAAGTGACAAATTATTCCTTTAAGGTTTGTTATGTGTGTTTCTTTTTCTTAATTATTCAACCCTCCACAGATTTCGAAGGCTGTAATATATGGACTATATAGGGCTAATGCTGTAAATACACTTATACATGGCAGCACAAAGTTTTTTAAAATGATCTTTATTAGTTTAGAAAATGATAAAGATTAGTGCAAAGGTAATATCATTTCATAAATTTAAAAACAGAAGAAATTAAGCATTCCATCTAAGCTAGTTGACAAATGAAACAGAAATCGGTGCCAGTGGAAAGATTCTGCTTCGAAGGTCGTGGTGCATCATCTTCAACTTTGCTGTTCAAGAAATGGGGCTTATGCAAGATATTCCTCTCTGTGGAGAAAATACATTTCTTAGGCAGTTTTCATACCAGTATTATAAGAATTTAAATTACCTCCATCTAAGGAGCATCAAACACTAGAATTTCTAAATCCATGCAATAAATCTGCTGGGAGGTTGGGTGTGTTCTCTTAAACCCAACCTCATTTTTTTTTTTTTTACAGATTACAAACATTTTCTTAATCGATTCTCTCATAGTAGCGTGCTCTCCAGACTTACTTCCTTCAATTTCTCAAGTCTCTCTGGGAGCCAGCTGGCACTTGGATCCACACAGTATTTTTGACTCTTGGTGACAAAACTAAATGGTTGAAGAGACAGATGAGATAGAAGCACTTTGGCCTGCGTTTCTGTATGAAAGATGCTATATAAATAAAGTTGAGTTGAGAGTAAACAGTATTAGCAGTTAGAGTTTCTAGAGGTTCTGGCATATTCTTGAACTTTGGACATCATTTATATTATGTTTGGTTTGTCTGCCCATGATTTATCTTTGGGGCCTCTGACACACCACAACACGAACACAGAAACACGATGAACCTTGTGTGTGACTACTTTTTTACTCACATGTATGCATGTACACAATTAGGAAATGTGTCTGCCATCTGTTCAAAGCAGGCGATGACAGTTTCCTTGACGCGGGCCTGCGAGACTTCCATACAGCAGCTGATCGGTACTGAATTTGGGGGATTAGACGTGGGACGCTGATATTGCCCTACAATGCAAAACACACAGGCAGGAACGGAACTGGCGTGAGCAGCTCCCATCAGCTGCGCATACTGTCGTCAATTCAATCTGTTAACTCAGTATATTTTCCATGTCACACACTTCACGTCTCCATGTCTACCTTCACTTATACTTAAAAAAAAATAATATTTAAAGCGACACTCACCTTGCACAGGAAGGAAAAACAGCACAACACACATAAAAGACATGGAGAAATGCATCCTGGGTCCAAGACTGAGAGTGTTTCTGAGATCTGGTGATAGTAAATGTTAGCGTCTAGTTCTGAGCGCTAGCTGGTCCGACACCGCAGAGGATGAAGAGGAGACTGACCTCCCGGAATATAAAGCTTTGGTATATATGCAGGCGATAAGAGGGGATGCACACCCCTCATTGCTCATTCCAAAGTAAGTGCAACACCAGGAGTCACACCTTGTGACTGGGTTGCTCAATGACCCTCCCTGAAAAAAAAAGTTTAAATATACTGGATTGAAAAACAGTATCATGTATTTGAATCACTGACAGACAAACATGTGTTGTTTTTTTTTTACAGTTCAAGCCATTAACTTTATTGTCCAGCCATCAGTTGAACCACACACAGCCAGCTATACAAAATAAGATTTTAGGGGACAAATAAAACACACACACACCAAGTCAAGCAGGTTGCATCAGTCCACCACTGATGAAAACAAGTTAACCCAACTCGTCCCAAAACTAAAACCACAAATGTGTGGAACAGAAGATCACAGAGTGACACATTCCTGATGCACTGGTAATTCCCACGATAACCTTCTGACCTCAGTGTACTGAGAAGGTAACACTATGTCATTTTCAGGGTTTTACTGAAGCGGACACATGCTGTTAACTGGTATTTGACTTATTGTAACTCACTTGTATAGCTGCCTTTGTAAATTTGATTTACTGGAAGAAGTGATGCTGGAGAAACCGTCCCAAATGAAGAGCGGGGCTACAGAAGGGATGCTTTTAAAACCCAATACTGATTTAATCCTAAATGAACACCAGTAGCACCTTAAAATCTGGAACTGTAAGCAATAAGTATAATAAGTGATAACACTGGAGAGCACTAAACGTGACCTCAGAGAACACGGATTGCCATATTGTCCTGTAGGGTTATTTTAAGACTGTTCCAGTCTTTATTCATTAGTCAACTGGCTGCTTCAGTGATGAGAACACAGACACTTGAATCATTCATGTGATTCCCAGTAAATTATTTGCTCCATGTTAACATGACGTCAATATGTGATGGTACATGACTAACACATTAGAGTGTTTCCAATCACCTGTTTATGCGCACATTTTTAATGCAGTATTTGTGCATTAAATAAAATGAGTGGACACATTATGAGAAATGTTTGGCTGGCACGTCGTTGCCTGAGTGAATGTAAACCGTTACTGGCTTGCGTAAAATATATGTTATTATGATGTACAGAATGGTACAGTTAAATGACTGAAATCTACAGCATAACCCATTGTGTTTTCCTATTTCATTAATTAATAACAATTCCATCTAAAACACCATGTTACTGGCTAAGATAACCATTATGTTTGATTGTAATGTGTATGTAATAATCGAACTATACATGACTTTTTTTTGTTTTGATAACGGCGCCATATATTGGCCATTGGCCGCCCTGCTCTCTAAATATGGGCATCGGCCATTGAAATATCCCATAATGTCATCCACTCACATAACAAGCATGAAGAGACTAAAATATTCACTAAGATGAAAAAGATCAAATCTTTTCTTTGCAGATTGTCTGGACATATGTCTACATGTATGTGGCATCAACTCCAAACTGGTGTTGTATCCAAATGGCCTGTACCTGACACACAGCTGCATCCTCAACATTAGAGTGGACCAGTAGCCGTCAATAGACTCAAGCCGCATGATCTGACTCCAACTCTGGAAGCAATTTATAAAAAAGCAGCATGTTTTAGCAATTTTAGTAAAAAATATATTTCTAGCCTTCATTTGTGCATAGTGCAAGTTATGCAGTTTCCTGTACTTTGCTGCTTTTTGCATTTTGTTGGTTGCAAAACTCAACTAAGCTACTAAGAAAGACAGTTCAGTTCGATAGTTCAGTTTTCCTGTTGTGAGTTTCCTGAAGTCAATATTTCTCAAGTGGGTGTAGGATCACTTTCACTTCCTAAAAAACATACGATTCTAAATCCCTTTCAACCACAAAACTGCTACACAGTACTTAGGAATACTCAGTATGTAGCTAATGAGCTCAGTTTTTTGTTGTCATACGACCCTGGCTAAAAATAATTCACTCCGGGATACAGTAATGATTTTGGTGTCCCTGTTCTCATTACTCAAGCGCTGACGATTAACCACGAACATGTGTTTTTTTTGTTTGGTCACACTGATGAACGAAGGGACGCAGCGGAGGAGTAGAGGGCGCAGAGAGGAGGAGGGTTCCTTATCACTAGCGGGAAGAGTTGGAACTCGAGCGTGACCGGTGACGGCGGCGGCCGGGCGATCGAGACCTGCGACGCACTGGAGAGCGTCGCCGTGGAGACCGAGACCTAGGAGGAGAGAAAGGAGGACAGAGTAGGAAAAATGGCAGACCTTACACATTTTACATATATTATAGATTGGCGCCATTTCCAGCACTCAGTACATCCTGCTCACCTTCTCCTCATTCGGGGTGGTGTGCGTCGCCACATTGGGGGTGGAGGGGGCATCCGGCGGGGAGGGGACAGCCTGCGAGGGGGAGGGCGCACTGTGGGAGTCAGCACAGCTGTGACTGTGATCTCCTGACCATCGATCTGACCTGAAAACAGGAATATTGAAGGTTCAGCATTTTAACATTGAGTGGATTTATTTGAGACATAGTAGAAGTGCAACAAACAAACACAATGAGCAGCCAGCCTTTAGTCTCATCTACACTGCATTGCACAATCAGACACAATATGGCTGTTACGCAATCCCCATACTCTTACTCTTACCGCCGTCCATGTGTTTCAGGGCCTTCTCTGCCTCCTCGGGTGTTTCAAACTCCACGTACGCGTAACCTTTGGACAGGTGAGGGTGGACGCGGTTCATGGGCATGTCGATCATCTTGATCTTGCCGTAAGTGGAGAAGATCTCCTGGATGTGTTCCTTCAAAAGGCACAACAGAGAGTGCTTTTACAATTGCCACTAAATCTAGACACATTTATATAAAAAGGGATCATTAGTCATTAGTGTGAGTAGAATACATTTCAGCTCTTTGTATGAAGGGAATTTATTCTCATTAGCACATGAGAGCAGCTTCAGGTAGATTTCAACTGTAAAGTGTTATTTAATATTTCAAACAGAATATTAAACATTTCTGTTGCACTGGAAACTTTTTGCAAATAACTACACGCCCTGTTAATATTTTATTTGAATCAGATGAAGGTAATAACATTATTACATAACTCAGTAATGTAATAATGAAATGATTACACAACTCAAGTAACAGAGCTGAGTTATTCATCATTCATGCATGTAAGCACTTAAGTGCACCTTTATTTAACTATGCTTGTGTACAAACAAGGTAATACTTGTTAATATCACACAATAGATTCCCTCAATTTACCCTCTCTTACACTGTGGCACTTATTGCTTCCTGTTGGCTCATGTCCATACTCTAATTCCAAAACTCAGCTCCTGCACACTTTAATGGCGAAGTGAGCTCACTGCAAGCGATAAAGGTATCGAATTCAAACGATTACCTCCATTTTGGGCACAATTCTTTTGTAACAAATCTTCATTACCCAGGAATGAGCAAGATTGCGGGCTGCCAAGAGCAGTCGAGAGCATAATAGTCTCTGACACAATGTCATAATCTTGCAGTCCTTTTCAATGCTCTAAAACAGGGGTTTTCCTCGGAGGGCCAAAACTAAACAAAATCCAATATATTTTTTGGGCTAGAAAAGTTTGTCTATTACTTTTCATTATGTTAAATAAAACAAATGTTAAATAATTATGTCCCTGAATATACAGGTGCATCTCAATAAATTAGAATATCATGGAAAAGTTAATTTATTTAAATAATTCAATTCAAAAAGTGAAACTCATATATTATATAGATTCATTACACACAGAATGAAATATTTCAAGCCTTTATTTCTTTTAATTTTGATGATTACAGCTAACGAAAACCCAAAATTCAGTATCTCAGAAAATATAGAACATTACCAAATAAAAAAGGATTTTTAATAAAGAAATGTCGGCCTACTCAAAAGTTCGTTCATATACATATAAACTCTTGAAATATTTCACTGTGTGTGTGTAATGAATCTATATGAGTTTCACTTTTTGAATTGAATTACTGAAATAACTGAACTTTTCCATGATATTCAGATTTATTGAGATGCACCTGTATGTAACTCCAAAAGAAAATGAAAGTTGTTACTAAGAATGTTTTCTGAGTACTTGGAATTTATTTGGGGCTTGTGTTGCCTTTCTCCCTGATGCACAACCCAACCTATATGGATCGTACAAAAAGGTTTACATTCAGTCAGGGATCGGTGTAATCCACTGTTGTAAACCAGCACCAAACAGCAGCAGAATCTCTGTGAGCAGCCTTACGAGCTCAGTACTGTAGTTAAATATTCACCTTGATAACATTCCTGGTCAGCCGGCCCAGGTAGACCTTGGTGGGTTTGGGTGTGGGGCTCCTACGCCGTCGGTCCCTGTCATCCTTCTTTGCTGATTTTGACCTAGAGTGTACATTTTAGTTAACAGAAGTGTTCCATATGTTCCTCAATTATACACTCAATAAAAAGGACTACTTTCCCTACTTTGAGCGTGAACGCCGCCTGTTGTTGTGCCGCTGGCGGCTGGGACTCGGCGAGGAGGACGAGGAGGACGAGGAAGAGGAGCGGGAGCTGGATGAGCCTGAGTGGCTGGAGGCAGAGGAGCTGGAGCCGCTGGAGGAGCCTGAGCTGGAGCCTGAGCTGCTGCTGGAACTGGAGCTGGACCTAAACAGGAGCAGGTATGGAATGAGGATGGAGAAGAAGTGTCTGAGTCAGTCTGTTGTGTGAGCTGGTTTATCTTCCACTGTCCAAACACTGCCACAACCCCGAGTCAAAGTCAGAACATAAAACACAATACAGAGCACCTCCTTTAATCCAATGAAAACTGAACTGACAGGATACAAACAGACTGGACCCTGGCAGCATCTAGCCTCTGACCTGCTGCTCCCGCTGGAAGCACTGCGCCGTGTGCGGTTCTTGTCTCGGCCCCGGCCCTTGTCTGCGCCTTCCTTCGTGGCTCCTGACTTCTCCTTACCTCGCTGTTTGCTCTTGTCGTCCTCCTTCCTCTTTGTTGGGGAAGGGGCCCTGTTGGAGGAGAAGAAAGAAAAGACAAGTCAGGATTTAAGGCATCGGACAGCGCTTTGAGACACTTTCACAACAGGCAAAAATCCATGTGTGGGTCCATCTACTGTATCTACTGATGGCCGAAAGGGACAAAACACTGAGCAATGAATACACTTTGTTTACATTTGATAAACACCATTAACTGTGCTCACTCATACAACATGGATTCAAGTAGAAACTGAAGTCTTTTCAATTCTGAATCATTTCAGTGTCCAACTGAAAATAAGCAATCCATTACACTTCTTTGTCTCCTCATGTATAAAGTCAAAATGCTTTGGCTTCAATACACACAAACATTCCTCCTATTTGCTCCACAATGTCTGCACCACATCCAGTCTGCGTGTAGGGTCATTCAAATAAAACCAAAAGGGTCAAATTAAAGTCAAAGGAATCAGTTTACACCAGTGTCAGAACTTCTTTCAACTATATAGCTGTCAGTGGTTCCTCTGAACTCAATGTGACTGAGAGCACAACCAACCCGCTCTACTGTCCATGCTATCATTAGCTAGTGAGCTAACAGTGGCTTATTGTGTTGCTGACATTCAAATTGAGCGTTTTAAAACAAATACACTGCGTTTGTTCCGCCTGTGCCCTTCCAGCGCTGCTCTCTGTTAGCCATACACACACATTAGTTCCCGTTAGAAACGCTCGTTCGTTGAGTTTGCAGCGTTTACTCACATCTTTCCACCTACTCGCGACAGCAGTAGTCGCAGGAAGGTGACGCGATGGTTTAGCTTGATGTAAACCAATCAAAAGACTGTACGCACACAGGCAGGGACATGCGGTTTTGTGGGAATCTAATCCCTCAGTCTTGACTGTCAAGGTATTATTTCTGATTTTAGCTAGTTTGGTTATGTGGACCTCGTTAGCGCTGCTCAGAGGGTTAACAATAATAATAGTCGGACACAGAAACACTTTTCTATGTGATGCTGTTTGCTTGGTTGGTGTAGCTGGGCCACCTGTATGTAGGTGATTGACAGGCATGTGCCTGACAGGTTAAACTGAGGTAAAACAAATTCCCTCTAATACAACTGACACCGGCTTTACCGGCAGAATGTCAGTGTGTCTTTCTTTCAAACCCCACGACAACATGAACCTCAGCGTGGTTATAGAAGACACCTTACACTACATCTAATTACCCAGGGTAGTTGAAGCTAAAGCTAGCAGGAGCTAACTGTAATGCCTGTAAGGAATAGAGTGATATAGGAGACAGAGGGAAGGGCACATGTTTGCTTCTCCTCTGGGACAGTCAGGTTTGAGATGAACTCCACAGGCGATACTGAGCCAGATGAAACCAACACACCCTCAGGTAGGACCCTCGCATTGACTGTATGCTCCGCTGCCATCGGAGGAACCTTCCAGTATGGCTACAACATCTCGATCATCAACGCTCCTACCAGCTACATCCAGGGCTTCATCAACGATACCTACATGGAGCGCTGGGGCATCGCCCTGGAGACCACTCAGGTGACCCTAATATGGACTGTCATTGTGTCAGCCTTCTCACTGGGCGGTTTGCTGGGAGCTCTGCTCGCAGGGCCTCTGGCGGTCCGCTTCGGTAGGAAGAACTCGCTACTTTTGAACAACTCTTTCCTGTTTGTCGGCGCTGCGTTTGTGCTGACGTGCAGGGTGGCGAGGTCGTTTGAGATGCTCATCTTGGCGCGGTTTCTGGTGGGGATAAACGCAGGAGTGAGTATGAACGTCCAGCCTATGTACTTTGGGGAAAGCGCCCCCAAACACCTCCGGGGTGCTGTGGCTTTTTCCTCTGCTGTTTTCACTGCATTTGGGATCTTCCTGGGTCAGGTTGTGGGACTCACTGAGCTGCTGGGCACAGAGCCTCTTTGGCCCTACTTGCTTGCTAGTAATGCGTTGCCAGGGTTGATCCAGCTCCTTACCCTACCCTGGTTCCCTGAAAGCCCCAGATACCTTCTCATTGACCGGGGAGACAGAGAAGCATGTGTCCGGGCGCTTGGAAGGCTTCGTGGTGGGGTGGCTCCTGTCTTGGAGATGGAGGAGATGCTTCAGGAGCAGCAGCAGCAGAAATCCGCAGCCTTGAATTCTGGATCTGCAGCTTCTGCCACAACGCCCTGGTCCCTGTTTAAGAATCCTGACCTGCGAGCCCAGCTCAGAACGGTCATGGCTGCCAGTAGTGCCATGATGCTCTGCGGTAACGACTCCTTCTACTTCTACGCTTCCTACATCTTTCTCGAAGCAGGGATCCCTCCAGAGAAAGTCCAGTACGTCACCATCGGCACGGGGGCATCTGAGTTCACTGCTTCTATCCTGAGTAACCTCCTGATTGAACGTGTGGGCCGCAGGTCCCTTCTTGTTGGAGGGTACAGTCTTATGTCTTGCTGGACTGTTGTCTTCACTGTAGCTCTTACCCTCCAGAGCCGCGGGGTGGCTGGGATGCCCTACCTCAGCATGGCATGTGTGTTCTCCTACATCCTCAGCTTTGGCTTGGGCCCAGCAGGGGTGACGGGGATCTTACCAGCTGAGATCTTTGACCAGGGGGCTCGTCCAGCGGCGTACATGGTCGCTGGCTCGTTCATGTGGATCAGCCTGTTCCTGCTGGGAATGCTCTTCCCCTTCATTGTCAGCGGCTTGGGGAACTTCTGCTTCCTGCCCTTCTTGGGCGTGTGTTTGGTGTCCGCTGTGTTTTTCAGGCTCACCCTACCAGAGACTAAGGGGAAGACGCTGGCTGAGATTACCGCAGAGTTTGATAGAAAGAATGGAGTGAAGAAGGAGAGGCCAGACCTGAAGGTGGATGAGTCCATTAGAGAGCACTACCAGCTGGGTAAAGCCTGCTCCTTCACTTCCCTAACGCAAGATCTCGACCCTGACCGTGAACCTGACCATAAGAATGGGGACTGAAATTTGACACCCTCTAGTAAAAGTGGAAAGGAATCAGGCAGTGCCTTTGTGACGTATTTATTCACTTTCACTGTTGGATAGATTACTCGATAGATGAAATCTAAAGTGTCCTATTTATGAAATATTATCTCTGTATAATGACTGATGGTTCAGTTTATTTGTGGTTTCATGAGCTACGTAATTTTTTAAAGTTTTGTATCTGTTAACCTGAAGTGGAACACAGGATGCTCTTTAATCAGTCCCTCCAGGAAGTTTGCGATGTTGTGATGGTTGAATTTGCATGAACTGTTGCCAACTATTTTTGCAATTTTCTCATTCTCCTGCAATTTTATGGTAAAAAATGCCTAAAAACGTTGCACCATGCGTCACAATGTTTTGGAAAAGCTGTCGCAAAATCCTGGAGGGACATGTTTTATAGACTTCTCTGTTATTTATGTAGAGGAACAGTTTTTAACCTGGGTTCCAGGGACCCTCAGGGGTCCTTCAAGGGGATCCCCAGAAAAAATGGGGAATATTTGAATTTCTCTGTTATTTAACTGACTGACTAAAAGCAATAACACTTTTCTGTTCATAGGTTTCACACTCATCACTGTTTATCTGCCAATGTGCAGTGGAGACAGTTACACAACAAATTAATCTTATCAGAAGGGGATCCCAGAGACTACATCTTATCAAATATAGGTCTGCAGATTGAGGTGTCTCAATTTGGAGGTCCATGACACCAAAAAGGCTGAGAACCCCACTGATCTACAGGCTGGTCACACAGAAAATGCATCTCTAAAGCAATGACATGATAATCTTTTCTCTACAAGCCAGCATAACTGTACACTGAATATGAAATGGCCTTTCTGAGAGTAGCATAAAAATATCTACTCAGTGGGAATGAGGACTACTGTACTTTTCCTTTCATTTGCACTTCACTTTGGAGTTAAAAAAGCAATGTGAACATTATCAGTTGAAGAGAAACATTCCCAGGTCTTCACCAAACAATTCATTACCTCCATCAGCTGCTTTTCCTTATGATTATTCTATTTTTTTTATCATAAACATGACTGAATGCCAAAGTTTATCAACATTTTGAATCACTGTACTAGTTATGAATTTAAGATGCTTTGCTGTTCCCAGAGGGAGTCAGCAAAGCGCAGCTGTACATCAACAGCCTGAAGAGATAACGGATAAGGAGTTTGGGACTGAAGCACGCGTTAGCCCTCCAACCTGCACGTGATGAACTGTAATGTGCGGTGGATTGTAAAGCATACCTCAAATGTAGTAGCATTATTCATTAATACCCACTCAAACTCTCTAAAGGTCTTGATAATGATAGAGGTGTTTGCAGTACAGTAGGTAATCATTTGAATTACATGTATTCAAGGATTACACTATAATTCAACACGTCTGCGCTGGGTAGATAACAGTGCTTGTTTATTGTCTAATCTGATTATATTCTCTGTTTCACTGACATGTCCACTGATCCATGCTTGTGTACAGTTTCCTGTTCCGTGATCCAAGTGGGAATATTGCCTCTCTAAACTCTGGCAGCTTAGAGGTTGTGCTGTCTGTGTGTTAGTTGGACTCTCACCCAAGGTATCCGTCCTACAACTAACAGCATGGTCCCATATAATCACCTCTCGAAATGTCTTACGTGTGTACTCATTACTATATTATGTGTGTATTTATGACAGCAGTGCCACAAACCAGCCAGTAGATGTCGCCATTGTCACTGTTCTTGGCTTGCTCTACTTTCTGTGCCCGTAAACATAAAGCTGTATAATATCAAAGTGAATCACAGATGTAACACCCAGGCGAAGATGACACTTTAAAAATTCAACAGCTGTCAGCTCACAACCCTTGCAGGCCTTCTGTTGACCATCTGTCACAGCCTCTGTATGCTCCAGATTATTTCTTAGAAGGCAAGAGGCAGCATGTTTTTATTATTTTATATCTGAGATGCTTTTGCTCGAGACAACATTATTGCAATGATATTTTTATTAATTATCCAAATCAACTCTTGTTCCCTGAAAACTTCTGTTTTCTTGCTGTATTTCAAGTAAACCTGTTGTAGCAGGTCGAAGATGCTGTTCACTGACTGAATTAAATATTTCTTATGACAGACTCTCCAAAGCATGTTATGACAGTCCTCAATTCTATAGAAATCTCATTGAAGGATTCTCAGGCTTGATTTTCTATGTAATGAATATATATATATATATTTTGCACATGTTAATTATTTATTATTTATTCAATGAGAAATGCTACTGTATGTGCAACAATAAAAAAGAAAAGTGCTGACCCACTCCATCGTCTCCTTTGTGATTCGGTTACTTTGACTAATTCCGCCTGTCTGATCCAACTGCTTTCTTAATTACATTTAATCACATTTGGCTCCCTTCACTCCTCGGCACTTTAATCCAACCGCTCCTGCCCACTCATATTAAAACTGTTAGCGTAATGTTGTTTATTTATGGAAACAAGTGCTGTTTGAGAACATCTCACTCTAAAGTAGGGGTAAGGTTCAAGTTTGCTGTTTCATTGGACTCTATTACATCATTTCAGCTTAATTGAGCAGTGTGTGCTTTCTGAACTGCAACTAGATGGCAGAAAAATTGGATTTATATTTAAGTGTGTGCATTCGACAAGGAGGAGAGAGAATTGCTGCGAAAACATTAGAAATTCAAGCTGGAACTGTTTCAATAGCAAAGATAATATTTCTGCTCTTGCTGGCCTTCAGTTTGGCCTCCAAAATTTATTGGCCTTTTCTAACGAAGCAAATAAAACCACTAAAAATAGCCTTCCTGTTAAAGTGGATTCAGAGATAAAGGTGTCAAAAGATTCTCTACAAGCAAAAACCAGCCGAAGTACGTCACACTTCAGAGATACAGAAAGTCTAGGCCGTCTAGAGTCGGACTAGACAAAGCGTGTAGGATGTTCAAACACATTCATCAGCACTAGGTAAAATCAGTACGCACACTGGTGTGTTTTGGGGGCTGGCTGATGATTTCTGTGTTCATCAGAGCTTAAGGCTGTCAGGGGAGAGACAGCAACAGTTTAATTTCTTTTACTGTTAGAAAACTCTGACCCCGGCAGCAGGGAGGGTCTCACTTTCAGGAATAGTTGGATATTCAGGGAAATACTTGCTTGCTTGTGGACAGTTAGATGATAGGTAGATCAATACCACTCTCATAAATGTCTTTGAAGCTTCAGCTAGGACAGTGGTTCCCAACCTCTTTCCTCAAGGTACCCCTTTTCCATCATTGAGCAAACTGACAACCGCTGACTAAGTGACATATTTTGATGATTCATATGATTATATTGAAGCTGTGCAATGAACCCAAATAGTGAAAACAACACAAACTGCAGGAAATTTGTGTAAAATGAGCTATTTGGACAATTTTAAGCAGGTTATTTCGTTTGAAATTCTCTGTATTGTCTGTATTATGTATTTTTTTTTATCATTTAACAATCATACATACTTAGTGGGCTTTTTCTTTGACAAATTCTGTGTTTCCTTCACCTTGACAATTCACCATTGTTTAATTAGATCTCTGGTTGTTTGCATACTTTTCTAATGCAGGATGAAGCTGTTCAGCAGAGACTGAAGGCTGTGAATATAGCTTGTGTTTAGGACTTAATCTTGATTTAAACTTTAAGATAACAATTCCATGTAGTTTTCTTTACAGAAAAGACTGAAATGCTGACCTATCACTGCATAGTTTACTTGCACGGCTTAAAATCAACAAGGTTTCGCAACCCCTCTGTGAATCTTTGGAGACCCTTAGTGGCAGTCGAGATCCCCAGGTTGGGAACTAGTGAGCTAGTAGACGGTTAACTTAGCCTTGCAATAAACAGGCAAGCAGCTAGTCCGGTTCTGTCAATGTAAAATCTACCTTTCAGCTAATGTAAATAAAACTAAAGCTTGCAAAATTGACAGTGGTTTATAAAAGCCAGAAACCAGCCTGTTTATATTTTTTCCCTGCCGCACTAATAAACTGTACCTCCACTTTCCATGACTCAGTGTACTGCCTGCTTTGATCATAAAACCCTAATCAAGTTTTTTTCACAGCTATTCAGTCATCATTTCAGCAAATCATATTATTTGATACAGTGTGACAGCTAAGCTTGACAGCTACATTTTAAAAAGCTTTTACCTGAATTAAAATGTAACAACTAAATTATGTTCATTATTTTAGCACTTTGACAACATTGTTGAAAAATGTTATTTTAGTGCACATCTTCCTGCTCCACTATTCCTTTTAAATGTACTCTCTCAGCACCACCTTTTTACTATTTGTTTCATGTTGCCTACGGTTCAGTCTGAATTCAGGATACCTTCTATTTCTCTATAGGTCAGATCAAGGTACAGCTGAATCCATCTGGGGAGGGGACATTTCATTTATTTGGAATGCAACCAGTGTGTGTGTGTGTGTGTGTGTGTGTGTGTGTGTGTGTGTGTGTGTGTGTGTGTGTGTGTGTGTGTGTGTGTGTGTTTTTGACTGTAAAGAGTGCAAGTGTGTGAGCGGACAGGTCTGTCCCTTCAGGCTGCAGAATGGCTGGCAGAAGTCCACTGGAGTCCTCCTGATTACGATTCTGCCACTGTCTGAGCCTACAGTTATTCTTCAAAAAAGCTGTGTCTGGGGCATCCGGTTAGCTCAGTTGGTAGAGCTGGCAACCCATATACAGAGTTGCTGCAGCGGCTCGGGTTCAAATCCGACCTGCAGCCCTTTGCTGCGTGTCATTCCCTCTCTCTACACCCCTTTCCTGTCTATCTTTGGTTGTCCCTATCTAATAAAGGCATGAAAAGGCAAAGAAAAACAAAAAACTGTGCCTCTCTGAATGTCACTTGCTATCAGTGAACTTGGAGAAAATGGATCCAGAACTTTGGGAAATTGTAAAAGTATTGTTTAAGGTATGACATTTGAGGTTTACATTTTGACATTTAAGTGGGGCATTGGCCTATAGGCTGTGTCATATTTTAAAATGGATGAATGGTTTTGCCGTAGTGTTGGAGACGGCAGACACTTCTGTATTGTGTTTGACAGACAGTTCCGTCTGAAGTTCATACATTTTACATGAAAGAGCTACGTCACCTTTACGTAACGTGTGCCTGACCCGATCAAAGAGGGTGCACCTGTTCCATTTCTCTCTGCTCTGAACCTTTCTGGTACCAAGTGGTGCTTCAGTATCTTTGGTCTTTTCTGCGTGAAAGTGGGCTTGGAGAGGTGGTTGGTGAAAGGAAGTGACAATGAGGGAGAGGGCACGTTTCAGCCTGCTGCTTTTGTTTGCGCCCTCCTCCTCCTCGGTTGAAGAGTGCGGGTTTCCTTTGGCAACCAGAAGTGGAGTGCCGAAAATACTGGGGGAGTTAAGAGCTTTACCTTTAATTGCACTTCCTGTTAGTTCCTATAAAGACACGAGAAGATGTTGCCAAGCACTTGAGAGAGTATATGATGAGGAAATTGAGATTTAACAGGATTTCATAGGCCCAAAAAGGAAAACAATGTGAGGTGTTATTGCCTCTCCGCCTCTTGAGTCCACACATACACCATTGACAAGAATAGTTTCTATAATAAAAGCTGTCTAGGAGATGTAGTCTCTGTATGCCCCCTTCATAGCCAAACAGGCTGATGATGCTATTATGAAGCAGACAGTGGGTCACAGTGGACCTGCCAGAGAGCCTCACTATCATCACCATTGTCTTTGACGCAGGCTGGCCTGTACTTCTGATATGAGCAGATAGCACGGAGGAATTGAGTCGTTATTACTGTTTAACCTTTTGTCTCAGGAGGGGGGAGGCGAGTAGAGACGCATTTTGGTGTCACACTATTCAGTGTTGGCCACCTCATACATGATGGATTTGGGAAAGGTGTTTATTTGCTTTCTGTCAAAGAGTGAAAGATTGAAATCAATCTCATGTCTGTGCTTTAAAGCTGCCCTGATCAATATTTTTACATTAACAATGGGACAAGTAATTACGTCAATTGGGCGCTTTGTAATGACAAGCCCACAGAGAATTACCACCCAACTCTGCAGTTCTTCTCAGCTCTAGAGCATTTTAGCGTCTTTAAGATTTGTTTTGTTTTACAGCCCGAAGCTTTACTGTTTTGGTTCAGTCTCACTGCATTATTCAACTCCAACTGCATTAAAAATAATAATAAATAAATATAATAAAGATGCATGCAGGTTTCTACACTGGATTTTAAGAGAGATGGTGTTTTTTCTTTTGCCTATCAATTGGAATTAGCTGTATATAAAACAATAGAAATATCAGTATTTGATATAAAACAAGACATGTATCAGTTGCTGAATTTGAGACAAAGGGTAACGTTGCAGTAACACAACAATGGACAATCCCTCCCACCCCTTCCACACAACACTGGACAAGCTAAAGAGCAGCTTCAGCAACAGACTTATTCAACCACGCTGCTCTAAGGGACGATATAGGAAATTGTTCCTCCCCACTGTTATAAGACTGTATAACTCATCTTCCTCTGTCAGATCCACAATTACAGAACTGGACTAAATCTACCTGTGGAACATATACTTCATATCATATGTGATATGTGTTAATATAAACCATGTTGATATTACATCATATTTATACAATATATTATTATAATATTAATAATATTATATTATTACTACTATTATTATTATTATTATATATTACAACATTATTATTATTATTATTATTATATAACATATAACAATAAGATATTATCTATTGTATGTATATCTTCTTGTATAGTCAAGTATCTATTATACATATGCTATATATCATATCATTTCTTGTGTATATATATATATATATGTGTACATATTATATATATATATTGTGTATATATATTACAGTATGTATGTATGCACACTTTGCACAGGCTAAATATATGACACATGTTTACATTATATCAATATTAATGTATAATATCTATGTGTATACATGTAGGCTATATCTGTTCAGTCATCATATTATATATACATATACATATAATTACTATATTATTATAAATATTATTAATATTATCATTATATACTTTATTATTATATACTGTTGTTAACAATAACACTGCCGTGTCATCAATACTATTACCACCATCTTGCAACTACAACTCTTTGCACCTTACCTACCTATTTATCTTTTTTTATCTTTTCTCTCTAAGTATATTATTCTATTGTTGTATTTTATTCTATTGTATTTTATTGTATTTTAATGTACCTGGCTGCTATGACGACCCAATTTCCCTCCGGGGATTAATAAAGTCTATCTATCTATCTATCTATCTATCTATCTATCTATCTATCTAT